CAACAAACTCCAGAAGACTCGATCATCCCCTCTGGCTTGGCTTCTACCCAGGTGATGTTTATTATGGCTACAAATCACTGACAAAGTGGCTCTCTGTCTGTTCCACCAGGAACCTTCTCACATTTCTCGTTCTCCAGGAACCAGAAAATTGTGACCTTTTATATAACTTCATGGTTCTATCATGGACTTACTAAATGGTTCAATAAAACAACATCTGTGCAAGGCTGTGCTTGGGCCTATATGCAAAGAGTACATGGTATTTAAGGACATGATCTGACATCATTCAGTATACATGTACAAAAGACATATCCATGAAGATCATGTAGGATTTTCCATGGTTAAAAAAAAAGAGATTTCATATCATTATCAGTGCAGTCCAACTTCTACTAATTGGTAGTATTACAACATGTATACACTGTATGCCAACAAATAAATTGAATTTCAACTCCCATAGTATCAATACTGTATACTTTTCACCTGTCATTTAGTAATTGCTTTGTTTGGCACCAAGTCAGTGACCGGATGTCTCTGCATGATGCATACATGGACATCACTTACGTGTATGTGTAGGCCTAATGTAAAGTCATACCATAAATCACTTCATGAATACAAATTGAATATTGATCGTAGAAAACTGTGACCCATAAATGAATGCTATTTTTACAACCCCGCTGAATCGATTTGCATTAAGCTCTGATAGCCTATGGCCACGGAAAATCCATACAAGGCAAGCACTGCATTCGCCAAGATCCTTCGGACATGGTTACGTTATCACTTGGAAAGGACTTCATGCTACAAAAGCTTTTTTTCTAAGTCACATCTTTTCAGAGACAGTTGTCAGTTGAAAACATTATTATAGTATGTTTCATATAAATTCCTCCATACTATTTATTGAATTCAATATCAAACCAAATTTAGACCCATCTGACTACTAGAGAGCTATACATGTAATAATAACAAGATATTTTGACCAGCTGTAGCGAACGGATTACCTAGGCCTACAGGATCAAGATGGACTGACAAAATTGGAAATTTTAAGACAGCCACAAAATGAACGTAAAACTTTTAGGAAAATGGAAAAGGGAGTGCCCCAGACACCAGATCTTCTCACTGTACAGGTGGAAATGAGGTCAAGGGGTCATGGGTTTGCAGGTTGCCTTATGAGGGGATTGACCCTCCCAATCCCTTAAGGTTACCTGAGGTCATCAATCAAGGGTCTGTATTACAGAGGGGTGTATTGTTTGTATTTGGGTGTGTGGTCAGACTGCACTTGTGTCAAGGTTCCATCAGATCAGGGAGTTGTAAGAGAGAGAGAGAGAGAGAAAAGGGGCAGTTACACTGTCATCCAAACACGCCAAAAAATGCCAAACCGGAGCCTGGCCGCGATGTTACCAAGGGCAACTACGCTTTACCGGCAGACATGCCAAGCCCCAAACATTCCAAAACGAAGTGTGATCTTTTGGCGTGTTTTGGCGTGTTTTGGCGTGTTTGGCAAGTATAACCGCTCGCAGTTGTAACATCGCGATGTTAGGCACGTGACTTCCGGCACTTCCGGATTGTTACCCGCGCTCTTTTAAACCACGTTCTTCCCGTGTGATATTTATAGCATTTCCATCGTCGTGCGTGTTATCCGTTCATTCAGCTCCGTTTATTCCGTTAACTCATCCTTTATTCAATCTTCGTTATTCCCGTCTGGCCATATCTGTCTAGTAGTAGTATTTGAGTGTTTTGTTAGATTAATTAATATGGAAGTGAACAATTCCCATTGGACTGATGATGAGATGAAGTTCTTGATTTCGATGTGGAGGCAGGGAGAGCTCCTCCACCAGACTTCCAAGCGTCCCTGCTAACGTGGGGAAAAGGGCTTCAGAGAAATGAGTGAAAGCATGAAATTAACAATTAACAACGATGATTTTCTTAACCTTCCCATATCGTTTTTACTACTAGATTTCGATTGAATTTGGGAAAACTGAATCAGCAGCCGTAGTCCGTACTTCGTAACTTATCCACTCTTGCCTCAAATACTACACGCGAGATAAACAAAACATATCGCATGCATGCGCATGGGATGTATCGCTATTTAGCTAGCTATAGCGCTAGCTGGAAATTGCGCGCGCTAAAAATCTTATAGCAGGCCGGGGTCAAAGGTCGGGAAGACTGCACATGCGCATTACCAACCGAAACATGCCAAAACATCGCTGAACAGCTCCGTCGGTGATGTTTCAGCACAAGTGTAACCGGGTGCACGAAACATCGCGACTTTTCAAAATGAGGTATTTGACAGTATAAATGCGCCTAGAGAGAGAGGGGAGAAGGGGATTGGGGGAAGAAGGGGATGGGGGGGGGGGGAGAAGGGGAGAGGGAGAAGGGGAGAGGGAGAGAGAATGGGAGTGGGAGAAATAGATGAGAGAGAGAGAGAGAGAAAGAAAGAGAGAGAGAGAGAGAGAGAAAGAGAGAGAATGGCTCCCTGGTTAAGTAGCAAACCCTCAAGAAAGGGGGCAACAGACTTGAAATGAAGGTAGACAGGAGCCACAGTTTGCAAAAGCGATAAGAGGGCCATCTTCAAATGCAAACACTGCAACAGTATGTGAAATATTTGTTGACTTCTACGATGGTGTTGGGTGCCCTACAATATACATGTACAATGTTGATCAAATAAGTCTAAAGTATCCTGATAATAGCATATTTACCTTATGGAGACTCTAGGTACAATGCACTGTATAAGAATAGCTAATGCAACAAGGTTTGTGTGTCATGCATAACAATACAACCATGTCTGCCTCCATGTACATGTACATCTAGGGTTTACAAAGTACAATGGGCCCTGTAAGTGTAAGGTAAGCCTGCAATGTTTACATGATGTATGTGGACCCTACAATGTAGAATGAAAAGGGCAAGACCTGGGGGGGGGGTGTTTCACAAAGATCCTAAGTAGAGCTTAACTCTAAGTTGGACTTAAAAATTATGGACAGCCATTGGAGTCTTAAAATGAAATATATTCAAAAGCAGAAATTCAAGTATTTTAGACTTTTTATAAATTCCACATCCAGAACATGAAATCTCCTTGATGATAGAAAATATGAATGATTTGAATAAACAATTAATGCCTTTCAAAATAACTTTTACAAAATATTTTCAAAGATGCTAATGGCTTTCCATAATTTTTAAGTCCAACTTAGAGATAAGTTCAACTTAGGATCTTTGTGAAACACCCCCAGGCAGCAGTGCTACTCTGGTAATGTTGGCCTGCATCAGAGAACTGCAGACCCGGCTTTACCAAATTATCCGATGAAGACTTACATTTGCACTGTTTATGAAATGCGTACAATGATTGTCTCTTCGTAGGGGTCTCCTAAAACCTACCATGAAATATATTACCAGAAATAAATAACAATTTCATAAACATGAAGTATTTTGATGAAGCGCTGCAAATATAAGAAGCAATAATTCCATTCAATCCAAAGAGTATTCGGTACCTTTTCCATGCAGTTACAAAGTGCTTCACAATAATGTAGGCCTATTCATGATGCCGAATGTAAAAAGAACATATCGACTACAGATGCTCATTCAATTGGGGGTCTACTAACTAAGAACCGACTATATTGTCGCTTGTGTATAATGTAAACAGAGTTGGCCCTAGGGATATAGATTTAGGGTGGGGCATGTTTCTAAGATTTCTAGATCACCCCCTGCTAGACTTTGTAATATAAGAACCACTCCTGTTTACAGTCAAAATTTTACATCTCTATAATCTCCAAGATTTATTCAAATCCGAACCAGATGTGGATCCACAGTTGCTGCATACTGGAGAATAATACATTGCACTTAATGTAGCTTTCTGAAGTATGTACATAAAGAGGTCTCCAAATTCCCTGATACATTTGGCTTTCAAAACATAATTTGCAGAAATTCTAATCATAAATAAACACAAGTCTGATTTGACTTCTTTGCTGAAATGTAGATGGCAATTTCCAAAATTGGAAATAAAATCATCCTCCAGTTATTCAATTGTTAGCCTAGATCACTGAATATCATCAAATATTTATCAATTTGAACTTTTTTTTTGCTGATATTGATGGCAATTTTCAAAATTGGAAATAAAATCATCAACCCTGTCATTCAATTATTAGCCTATCTGATCACTAAATATTAGCAGCAACAATATTCAGGTATTTCTCCGACTATGAACAATGAGTGTGTATTTGTCATCTCACGTCACATTAACAATTAACACTGTCACAAAATTGTAATCGGGTACATGTGCATTACAGATCAGGTGACAAGATAATCAAATTAACATGATGGTCCACATTACAATACATGTACATGTAGTTATGATGCACGGAAGGACCACTAATCTGTGCATCCTCAAATCTCAATATAGGAAGTCATCCTTTATTCCAGATTAAAACATTGATTCAATCCAATGATCCAGTCGTTATTTAGCCCTACATGTACTGTATATACTGTAGACTCGTTTTACACGTTAATTTACAATGCAAAGAACAAAAACATCAAAATCACATCAGTACTATGAAATTTAAAACTAGCTAGTACACAACAAAAGGGTCATCACAACAAGAAATATTAGAATATTGTCCACCCAGTATAACTATAAGATTGAACCTTGGTATTAACATTTTTATATCTACCACTACATCCTACCTATACATGTACACTCTATGATCTTGTGCCAAGTTGACGTTGGTATACTAAAAACACATGAATTAAATAATAAGGGGAATACAGGTGTAGCTTTGGAAATTTTGAGGAAAACATTAATGATAGACATGCAGTTAGTGCGTTGATGTGATTGTGTAGTATACATCTACATTTAACTCTGTATAGTCTTGTTATTTGGTAAGCTGAGACAAGCAATTAACATACATGTTAATTAAATAAAATTGACAATTATTTCCATACAAATATTGCCTATTGATAATGTAAACCATTTAATTTGATAGCCTTAGATAAGTTGGGCGATAAAAGGCTTGACTTACCTGTATTTGATAGCCAACAGTCTTACTCCAGTAATATAATCCTGAGTTTTGACAGATAGAATCCTTTTTCCTGTCACTGACAGTATAGTACAGCACGTTCACGCTTCTCCAGGTTCCAATGATAAAAAAATTGTCAATGATCAAAATATCGTTGAAACTCTTCAAAATTCCTGCAGTCCAATATCAGCTTCCAAATTAAGCCAGGCAAAAATGATCAGGTTTGATACATGCATTCAGCAGAAGTATTTTCATCTGATACAGGAGTCTATGACTATGAGCTAAATGACTGTTGTACACAAACGGCTTTGAATGCAGTAATGCTCCACGGCTGAGAGACTCAAGGCATGTAAATACGAATAGGCGTTTACCCTGCCTGTGCTCTGCCCAATCCACTTCTGCATGCAATGTATATTCACCATGCAAAAAGCTAAGCACTGTTCAGAAGCAGTGAATGCACTGACATGACAGTAGAGAGAGCTACAGAGAGAAGGACTAGGCTAGGGGCATTACACGACTCACTGCACGCATCAGCACCAACAAACTCAGTGCGCAATCCTTTTCTTGCTATTCTATTCAGGTAGTGTGCCCTCAGTTGAGAGGGAATGAATAGGGATGTGATAGAAGGGTTTCTGATTCATTGTGATATTACAATTGGATGGTAAGATTTCCTCTATTAAAAGGTGGGCTTGGCCACTGATTGGCCAGAGGGATAAAAGAAGGGGTGGGCGAGGGGTAGTGGTTGGGTCCAGTTTAGGCTTCCTCATCAGAAGATGGATTTCAAAGATTCAATGGATAATCCCAAGTCTTTAAACTGGTAGCCAAGGACATTAAGTCTCAAAGAATATCAACAATGATCACAAAAAGGGGGCACTGGCTATTCAAGTTAATTCAATCAGAACCGCTGGAGAACATTTTGATCCTTCTGAAGAAGTTATTCAAAGTTTAAATAGGAATTCCAAGACAAGATCAAAATTAGTCACAAACTATGGGCAAATTAAATAGGATTATCCCAGCTGTGAAGTCATCTTCTTGTCGACCTTATCATGCTGGGATCAAATGGAGGAGAAGGACATTTTTACTATACTTGTACTACAATTGAGGAGAGTCTATTCCATTTACACTCTTTTCCTTTTTTATGCAGGACCAGAGGAATGGGATGTACACTGTAGGATAAATACCGGTAGAATAAACACAAGATTTGATTTTTACTGTACAACTTTTCTTCTAAACAATGTATAACAAAACACCTATTTGACTTGTTGATACTATTCCCTAGGGCTTTTTCATAAGGTGAAACATAGGGGGTAAACAGTATATTCATTTTGTCTTTTGTGAGCAAAATCCCTCATTTTAATTCGTAATGAAATACATGTAAACATGGAGGCGTAAAAGCATGGTTCTCTTTAATGTCAATTACGTTCAATTATAATTAGGACATGTATGCCTCTTTCTAAAAAGGAATGTTAGTGTTTTTATAAGCAATAAAATCATTTATGAGCAATAAAATCATTTATGAGATATAAAATTACAGGAACTAAAAAGACTCTACCTTTTTCTTTTTTACTTTTTTTTACTTAAATTTGCATACCTGGTAGACACATGTATGTGCGCTATGCTCCATTTACCAGCAATGAAGGTCTATAATGAGAACACTCCCCATTGTTCCATTATTATCAGAATTATCATCATATTACAGGAAAAGCCACATAGTGACGTTGTCATTAAACTTTTATCCAATTTTATGGTATGTAAACAGCAGACATGCAGGTATTCCAAGAATGTAGTCTGTTTTTTACCCCTCATATTATTCATAAAAGCTGTAACCATATTTTCAAAGTATACTTTGTTCATGTTTATTGTAAAACAGCATCTGAGGAACTAACAAGCTCTGCTTCTAGTTAGTTCCTCTTTTCTCATGCTTTTTCTATTATATTTGTCGTTTCATTGCATATTTTTGTAATATAATAATTCATTGTATTATGTGTTGCATGAGAAATAAAATCATTGAATCACAAATATTGTAAGAACTTTGTACAACCAACTATAGTTTCTAAAAGATTTTGTCCAACAGATCAGAACTTACACAAATTGTATGGAGCTTTTACTTTTCACCTGCCCTACAGTTTAAAATCTTTTTTTGTACAAAATGAATCATCAATTCTTCATTCCAGAGCTAAATGGATGAAACCACAACATAGAGGGAGTATGACCAGTTTCAGTCTCTTTCTTTCTTTCTTCATTCCTGACTTTCATCCTGAATTCATCCTCAAGAGCCGAAATAGATCAAGAAAAAACTTTTCTAGAATGTTATCGACAGCTTTGTATTTTTTTAAAACGAAATCCATCTTTTTATTCTGATTTAGATTTCTTTATAATTATAAGGAAAATATGAATACTGTAATGTATCTAGGCCTATATTACACTAAAGACCTGTGAAGAAAGTATTTTCAGATATTAAAGTAACTCAAATATTAATTTGGCTATTCAATCGCTTGAAAGAACAAATGAAAATACAAATGGGTGAAAAGGAGGAATAGGACAACAACAAAAAATAAGACGCAAAAAATTAAGAATTGCATCTATTTTTTACAGGAAAAAAAAGTAGGGATAGAATACGGAGAGAGGGAGTGGACAATGACAAGATTAACGGTACTCTAAAATATTCAAACAATTTCCCCAAAAATGTAATCATACTATTAAATCAACAATTGTAGAACACCCACTAGCAGACACGCTCTGAAAAGCAAACAAGATTTTTTTTCTTCATCCTTGGCCCACAAAAATATCAATTACAATGATGCAAACATCTTCTGGGGGATTGATTTCCTTGACTAGTACACCATAACCACAACATTGTTTACAGGATAAACAACAAACATGGAACAATCATATTGACTTCCATTTCTAACAATAAATTTGACATGGCTAATTAAAATTTAATGAACAAGAAAAAAAGGATCTTGCTGTTTGCATTCTATGTATATATGCTGAAAGTGAAAATTATCATAAATCAATCTAATGACAGCCTACTACCATTGAAGTATTTTGGGCCAATATTAGTTCAATTTTAATCTTTGCAATTTTTGCACCCAGCAATGGCTTTCACAATGTCTTCTCAATTCTCTTTCATTCACCGACCACAACCAGAAACTTATCCCCTTTGTTTCCTTTCATACTTCCTTCTCCAATCAACATTGTATTTTTCAAAATTTTAACTGAACCAAAACAAATATTTAGGAAAGTTTCAAGTATATGGAATCATATCTGACAGATTTATTATTAGAAGTCATGAACATATATGTCCTGGATGTAACTCACCTATTAAATCATTGACCATTTACTACTTTACAGCAGAAAGATGTAACGATTCACATCTCAATGTTATACTATGTATGTATGAATGTATTTATCCCAACTTTGCATCTCTCTCTCTCTCTCTCTCTTTCTTTTTCCCCTCACATTTCTCCTTCGCTATCTTCTTACTTTTGCATCCTATCATGTTACTGAGCTTGTGCCGGTTGTTATGCAATATCTTTACTTGCTACTTGTTTCTTACTATATATATTTATTAAATCTAATTTGATAGGAAGCTGTCCAGACAAAACCTTCTCTTGTTTTTTTTTTTTTACAGCTGTGCCTTATTCTGTTTTGTATTAATTCATTGTAAATATTATCCCAATTTATGTATTATTTTTTACATAGAATTGCATGTTTTCACCTTTGTTAACGTGTTTTTAAAGATTTCATGGTGGCTGTTAAGACAAACCCACTAGGGTTTTTATACAGCAACCACATTTTTATTTTTGACTGTCAATATTTTACTATTTTAATAAATGCAACCAAAATATAATAATTATGTATAAGTAGTACTTCTATTATATTTACTGCATGTCGATGTTACTGTTTTTATTATGGAATTATGAAATTGAATAAATGCTGAATTGCTGAATTGCATGTCTTTAAAGGTGGAATTGAATTGAATAAACTGAACTGAACTGAAACTGAACTGTCTACCGGTAATCATCTATGAAGTACTTGAACATTACAGAAAGAAAGACAATTTTGAAGGTGACTTTCATCACGCATATTTCATCGTGACACACAGTAATCTAACGCTCAAAGACAATGTGAACTCTGATTGTGAAATACTAAAACACTCATGAGTAATTCTAATCTTATCATATAAAACAATTGATAAATATTGATACTGTTTAATAAATATTGCTGTGCAAACAGCCTTCATATCAAGCAAATATTCTTTAAAAGCAGTAGGGATACATGCTGTCGGTCAGAATCAGAACTAAAATAAACTATATATGGGGAGAAAAGGCAGAAAAATGTCTCTGTCCAAGTCTCAGAGACAGGACTTTTTTTCTTCTTCATGCTTCTTTCATCTCTTCAAAAAAATCAATAAAACTCTTTTGTTTGTTAATGCTATTCAAAGGTTATCAGTACAATAGTAATATCACTGACTAAGAAATCACTGATCAAAGTGCAAAGTACCGGTATGTCATTAATATCTGTCACATGTGCTATAAAAAAATTACCGGTAAGCAATTTAGAATGATGAAATACATGTACAGTGTAGTATAGTATACTGTATATATATATATTGGGTCATTACTACAAAATAGAAACTAAGAAATCTTGCACTGCAGCTCTGAAGTAGGATAGCAATATTGCAGTGTATTTGAACTACTCACTCATGACTATATGGGATACTCTATATTCAGTAGGGTAAGTACATTTATATATTGAAAAAGACATTTTCTGACGTAAATATGATTGTAATTAATGGCAGAAGCAATAATGAGAAATTACGTCTATTTTAGTTTTTAAGAAACATCATTCACTGCTCAATCAAAGGAAGATATGATTTTCGAACATTGAATTACAAATTACACTTATTTCATCAGAATAATTTGTCTTTCAAATAATCATCTTTCATCTTTCATCTTTCAATTTAAAAAGTTATTTCTTTATTGTGAAGGTCTTTTTAATAGCTCTTACTCACATGGAACCATTTTAATACATATGAGAGATAATATTCAAGGAAATGAATCTTGAATGAACTCTCCATCACTGTTTCACTTTCAGTCTGCCATTTTCCTAGAACTACCCGACAGAGACTCCCAACTGGGATCAATAATACTTCATCTACTTCACAGCGTATCAAATCCACAAAATTGAATAAAAGCTCTTCAATTTTCCTATCAATACCAGCACGATTTTATATCATTTAGTCACCTACTGAGATAAGGTGACCTACATGTACGTCATCAGTACATGCAGGCTTTTCTTTTTAAACAAAGAAAAATGGTCAAGATAGGTCATCTGGAATACTTTAGAGTGGACAGTAAGCTGCTGATAATGAAATATATGATAGTGATTATGGCAGTGATGATAAGAATGGTGATTATGTGGAGGAGTGGGAGGAGAGGAGAAGGGGAGGGAGGAGAGGAGAAGGGGAGGGAGGAAAGGAGAAGGGGAGAAGGGAGAGAAAAGGGGAGAAGGGGGAGAGAAGGGGAGAAGGAGAGAAGGGGAGAAGGGGAGAAGGGGAGAGAAGTGGAGGAGAGAAGGGGAGGAGGGGGAAAGGGGAGGAGGGGGAAATGGGAGAAGAGAAGGGGAAGAGGGACAGGAGGGGAGGAGGGAGAAGGGATCGAGGAGGGAGAAGGGGAGGAGGGGAGAGGGAGAGGGGAGAGAAGGGGATGAGGGGGAGGGGAGGGGGAGGGGAAGGGGAGGGGAGAAGGGGAGGGGAGAAGGGGAGGGGAGAAGGGGAAGGAGAAGGTGAGGAAGGTGATGGATGGCAGGCCAGAGGATGGGAAGAAAGAGCTGGAGAAAAGGAGGATGGCCGGGCAGAAATGGAAGAGGGCAGAGAAGTGGAGTGGAGCAAACAATAAAAGGAGAGGAGGGGTTGGAAGGGATCCTAGTGTCTTTTGATTTAACTTTTTTGAAGATTTTTTTTTTATAGATCTAGAACCTAGACCATAATCATATTTGTTATCATTTATTTTCACCATCAGGCATCAGGCATCAACATTTTCAACAACATTATCGACACCATTTGACATCATCAGCAGCATCACAGATATGCGACAATTGAGAATAGAGTAGACTAGTCTACACAGTTCAGAACAATCTTTTACATTTCATCATAGACCGGAAGTTTTGTGTTCCAAGTGTAGGCCTTATAAACCGTGTTAGTTTACAAATACAACACATAACATACAGATCTAGGCCTACTAAAGTTTGACCTCTCTACTTTCTTTAGACTGTTTTATCATGTTAGCTTGTTTTGTTTTCTTTGTTTGCTTTCAATATTTACCTAGATCTAGACTATTTTTTTCTTCTTCAGTTCAGGCTGAATAAAGCTATAGATCCAAGGGTACGTATAGACCTATGCTCAGTTTTGAACTAAACGCGTAACAGATGCCTCATTCTGGCCAGAAAAAGCTGAGCATAAACGTACCCCAAGTATAATTTAGACAAACCATAGATCTAGGGCCTATTGACTAACCAGTAACTGAAGTCAGAACTCAGCTCAGTAGACTATTGATAATTGACCATGTTGACTCGCTTGAAAGTGTTTGGTGAATGTGATCTGTGATTGTGAATGTGATTTGATTTTGAGGATCACAATAAATTTACAAAAATACAAAGAATTAGATCTAGGTCTAGATCTAGAGATCTAGATCTAAATCTAGAATTTTTCTTTTTTCCTTTCTTTTTCGAACTTACCTCTTGAACTTTTATGGCAAATGTTGAGGTGGATTCAAAATGGGTCGAGCTGCACACTGGTATCCTCCATATTTTAGATCTTTAAATAGTTTAGAGAGTAGACTAAGAACTAATAATCAGACTCAGTCAGAGCTCAAATAACGCTAAATGCAGTAGGCCTATCTGATTTCATTCCGCATCGCGCGCGTATATATGCACGCGCAATTTTGGGCTGGATATAGCTAGAAGAGGGGGAGGGCTAGGGTGGGGAACATCGGGGGCCGTCGGGGCTTGTGAAATGACAGCTCATCTGCACTCGCGCCGCAGATCAGCTGGAGATAAATCTATAGATTTTATAGCGCACGCGCGCTCACTTACGTTTTCTGCGCTGCATAGGTTTTCTTTGCTGATTGGGCGGGCGCGCGTGAGAGAGCAGGATTCATGAGCTATATAATCCCATTGAAAAGGAAGCTCTTGTTTAGCCAAGTAGCATAGATCTAGACCACAGTCTGTTTGATCGTATATTCAAAGAAAAGGAATCTGTAGACTAAAACTATAGAATTACCAAAGAATCAATTATACTAATTTATTATACATAATCTTACTATTGAGAAGAACGTTGGATTCACACAGAGTCAGCCCAGAGAGATCAGAACTTCAGAAGGTAAATTTTCGTTTGTGTAGTCCCATACGTAGCTTGTCATGTTTGGTTTAGTCAGTTGTGTTCAGTCTGTTCACAATAACATTTATTAACACAGGCCTAGGTCTAGTCTATAGTAATATGAGATGTTAACATTAGATCTTTGAGATTCGAAGTCTAGACCCTACCTTAAATTGGAATGTATACATCCTTTCTTAACTGAAATATTTCCAGACTAGCATTTGTGCACATCACATGACATGTCACACAACACTAAAAAAACACACACTATCACTATCACTATCACTATCACTATCCTGGCTGTGTAGTAAAAGATGTGCTTTTGATTCTCAACATTTCAAACACCACTGTACAAAACTCAAATGATTTCACTCAAAAATCGGTACTTTAGTGACAATTGATGACACATGTAAATAGCAGTAAAATACATTTTTTTAAACTTACTGATGTTAAAAAGAATAATTAAAAAATTCAAATTGTAAGTCTAGTGTTAAAATTTGCTTACACTTACAGCTGCATCGACATGATTGTGTACAGTCTATGCGATATTATGTGGTGTGTATATTTGTGTATGGGTCTAATAATAATAATACCTGCCTCACAGCAAGCATGCAGTGCTAGAGGTCAATACGCATTAGCATTGACTCTCTATGCTTTGCTGGAGTGAAAACAAATATCAGTCGACTAATTTGTAGGTAGAGTCTAGACATGTTACAAAAAAATAAAATCTCAGATTTTGAAGCTCTTGCTTTATTTATACCATCAAACAGAGCTTGATAAGACCTTTTATTTGATGCCTCATTCATCCTAATAGCCCTAGTAATAAGAAAGTTATGCCAATTTTTAACACCCGTAAATCATGTAGGACCCTAATTGTTATGTTTTCCTTTGTTTTCATTTCAAACAAAAGCTGTGATCTCAAATGACAAATGTGACCGAAAGCCTCTAATATATCATTACAAAAATGTATGTAACTTTCTTTAGAATGAAGATTTTTCAATGAAACTTTCATCATTTTTGCATGACATCTCACATTCCTCATCCAAAAAAACATAGGGTCTATTTCTTGTTCATAGATTTTCCTGAAATTTCACCAAAAGCAAATTCACATGTTAAACAATCTAATAACATACCTTTTTCTCAATCTCAATGCGGGATCAGGGTACAGAATGGCACCAAACACGGCTCTTGTGAAACAGTGCATAAAAACATATTTGCGAAAACATACATCATAGCAAGTTTTGTATAAAATGAGAGATCACGATGTCATTCTTCTCATTCAATAGAAATCATGAAACAGAAATCTTACCAGCCAATGAGCTAATCAAAAGCCCACATTTGTGTAGGCTATCCAAATGGTCTCCAATAATGCATATCATCAGCCCCACGGCAGAAACCTCCATGGCGAAAGCGCATGCATTGCAACGTACCTAGTCAATGCCTGTTCAATCTTGTCTTGATGCCTGAATGGGGTCTTTCTAATTCTATAATTCTATACTATTTTTATCTCACTTGACTTACTAAAATAAACTGAAAATGTAAGAAAATTTGTCATCAGATTAGGTCTAATGTTTGATTTAGATTTAGATCTATCTTGCTTCAAATTTTTGGCATTTTGCATTCTAATTTACTATGTAAATTCAGCCCAGTGCCAGTCTGGGCCAGTGGTTCAGATTTGTTTGTTTTATGTGGTGGTATCACCAAATTTATCTGCCAAATGTAGCTCCCTCTTACTCTCTACCTTTCATTTCATTTGTTGTCGTCTAGGGATTTGATTTCACATAGAATCATGCAGTATCCCACACCGGGAGACAACTTCCCCGACTACACTTCATCATCTGATTGGGAAGGCAGGTCATCGGATGCTGCTGACACAAGCAACGACAGCTCCTTCAGCTTTGGCATGGACCTTGAAAACTCTGATGTGACCTTCAAGATAACCTCTGATGACCCTGCCGACCCTGGAGAAGATGGCACATGTACAAAGGCTCCACCCAAGAAGCCTAAGCCTCCCAGGCCCCCACCTCCAAGAAAATCAAAACCGGATTCGTCATCATCGTCCTCATCGAAGTCGGAAAAGGTGGCCGACCTTGTGGTGCAGAAGGTCCGCTGGTTGTACCGGGAAGAGAAGAAGTGGGTTCCGTTCATTGGATATGACTCGTGCCAGATGGAATGGAAGTATAGGCAGGCTCAGCTACAAGTGAAGGAAGACGAAGAGGGGATGGATGTTGACATTGGGACTGTTGCCGTCAGAGGAGGACTCTACGAAGTGGATGTAGCCAAAAGGCAATGTCATGCTATCTACTGGTCAGGTATTCAGTCTGTTTTTAAAGCGGTTAACAATCTTTCCAAAGTCATGATCCTGAATTGTAGCGGAGATCATCCTCTCATCCTCTCAACAGTAGTCAAACAAAGGATTTTTCTTGTATTCATAAAAACGTTTGATAGATATTTTGGAACCAAGAATTGGCCTGAAGATAAACAGGAATAGTACAAATGCAGAATACATGCAATTTTTTGTTCAAACATCCAAAAGATCTGGTTAAAAAAAATTGAAGTCTACATAGCTACACATGTATATATCTCTATTAAAAGTTGTTACCTTCATTACCTTCAAAAAAGGACTTTGTTCATTTCATTTACATGCAGTACAAATCTGTGTCCTACAATATAGACCTCTGCCTCATGACCATCCTTCTTCCACCAAACATTTTCACTTCTCCATATTGTTTTCCTTTTAACGTAGATGATACCGTTAAAGTGATGAGGGGAACCTGGTTCTATTCCAGCGGTGCAGAGCCCATTGAAGAAGGAATGGCGAACGATATCGAGAAGGAGCATCTTGACTTGTTTACCAGAGATAATCCTCCGGAGCCTCCTGCTCAACCGACCAAAGGAGCTCAGAAAGGTACCAGAATGCTTCGACTTATTTTAGAGAGTGGAAGGAATGCATATATTAGACATGTGACAATTTTCATTTCCTGCAGAGTGTATCAAAGTTGTTAAGTATCCATAATTCTGAACTGATATGTTGATGAGAAGTAGAAGGTGTTTCAGAAGTAACTGTTCATATCTTGGTCGTTCTGTCAGACTGACTCCACCCGAGTCTGTAACAACTGATTTTGTGCTATCCAGGGTATTGTAATTGTTTGTTTGGTCTGTTGTCAGTCTGGTGTGTTTTCTTGTTGGGGTTAGTTAGGTATAACTAACTTTTGACAAGAACAGCCTATTGATAACAAATAAATACACACAGTTGACATTACTTAATTTACAGCAATGGTAAAATGAAACTTCAAAATTCAGCATGTTATTTATTTACTAAACTGATAGCTGTCATATATGTATAAACTTTTCTATTTGAGTTGAAATCCCTTCTTTCTCATAAGGAAACAATTGTTTGTGATGCAGTTTCAATTATTACCTCATCAACGTTTTGTGATACTTTTTCCCCTATGCTAGCGATGCACGAGTTATACTTCAAAGATTGCCATGTAGATTGGTATTCCAAAGATGCTGTATACTTCTACAGTAACTCCACCAGTTCAAGGATTGCAAGGTCTATAGGCAACACACTAGGGTTTTCTAAAGGTAAGATTTTACTACGTATGCCTGCAGAAATCATTCAAAAATAGTTTCTATTTGCTGTGACAGGGATTATGATATTTTGCTTTGTAGTTTTGCAGGGCTAATGTAAATTAATTATATCAACCCAGATGATTAAAACAATCATATGATGTTTATAAACTGTAAATTGATATATTAATATAATAATATTCTGCTTTGATGTGGTGTTAATACATCGTCAGTGTCTCTAAGTGCTTTACAAATATATTATTACCCCCTTCATCAGATTCAGGCTTGCCTGCACATTCTCAACTTTCTGGGGATCATTCTAGCCAAGCGCAATTTTGCAGAAAGTAGAAACTTAATTGAGACAATACAAAAAAGTTACCAACAGCCTAAGCAAAGTGCAATGACCTATGTATGTCTTTTTCTTTATGAAAGCATCCACCAGTGGGTATAAGTTAATGCGGGGATACCCCACCCCAGCCAGCCTGGACGACAAGCCCCCTCCCATCTCTCATCTTGTCTTTGTTGTTCACGGAGTCGGATATGTTACGGACAAGAAAGCCATCATAAAGAACTGCTCTGAGTAAGTGGAGACTTGAAGATTGAATTCAGAAGACAAAATATTATAAGATAGTTTTTTTTTTACAATACTCTATTATAATTCATACTAAATATCCTTCGTAATTCTCTATGACACATAATTTAACAATGGGAAGTTCTCAGTGCAGCTCAGCATGCATTTTGAAATGTTTGCCAAACAGTTTCACACCCATGATCTGTTTCAAGAATAATATTCCGAGCACAATTAAGATATCACACCTTTATCAAGAAGATTCATTACATCAACAATAAGTCAGTGAAAACATTGTTTACTTCAACACATACTGTGACATATATATTTGCACCTATTCAAATCCTCTCAATACCTTTTCACATCTTCCTGCCTCTCTCATTCTCTTCCATCAGCCTAAGAAAATCAGCCTCCAAGGCCATTGCAAAACACCTCCCTGACCTTATCTCCCCTGCCTCAACTCAACGGGTCGAGTTCCTCCCAGTGGAATGGAGATCAAGCCTCAAGCTCGACAACGGCATGGTCTCGGCCATCACCCCGTACAAGCTTAAAGGTCTTAGGGTGGTGCTCAACAGTACTGGCATGGATGTGCTTTACTACTCTAGCCCCCTCTACAGGTCAGAGGTGAGCCGAGTCAGGAAAATATGTGGTTGAATTCCTCGTCAAATCTGCCTAGGCATATCTATGTTAATCGTTTTGTTTTATTCCTATGGAAGTTAAAATAGTCAATGTAAATACCTGGAAAAGAACGTATTGCTAAACACGGTTTCTTTTTAAATCAACCAGCTTGGTAAAGACAAAGAATCAACACACATTTGGCCAGGTGACATAATGATAATTGCAATTGCAACAATAAGTCTGAAGTCCCTATAGGTAAAATAAAGTTGAAAAGATATATTCACTGCACATTTGAAATACATGTAGTAATCAGATACACCAATCAACAATTAATATGAAAATCAAACAACAGAGGCGTTTTCTTTTCTATTTCCCAGTCATCTTCATGTTCCCTTCCCATCAGATGCTCTTAAGTATATATCTCATTATTTCTTTACAACCCCACCACAGATCATACAGTGCGTTCAGGCCGAGGTGAACAACCTCTACGAGATGTTCCGGCAGCGCAACGAGGGGTTCGAACCCAACGGCGGAAAGATCTCCATTTTCTCTCACTCTCTCGGCAGCGTCATCATGTACGACATCATCACCGGATGGAACCCAATCCATCTCTACGACCACTACCTGTCGCACGAGCAGAGTCTGCATCCCGACCTGAGCACCGTGTCTCCCGATCAACATGACCTTGTAGCCGAGCTGCACCAAGCTAGGATAAGGTTGGTAGCTTTTTTATGCTCAAATCATTTGTTTCTCTCTATCTCTCCTTTCGTTCTGATATTTTCACTTCCTTATTTACTCTCTCTCTGTCACATCCAATCCATCTTTCTCTTTACCATTTCTTTTAATCTATTTTCTCTCATTCTTTTTCTTATTCTCTCTCCCAAATATATAATTTATTCTGTATTTTAAGGTTTTAGAAAGATTTTTGATGCAGATATAAACTTGTCTCATCTGCTTATCCAGACCAAACTGAATATCAATATTTTGCCTTATCCCAGGACTAGTGGATACAAAAAAGGAGAAGTGAAGTATTGATCACTCATAAACGATTTGTATAAAATCTTAATGTTTTCAGTACTGTGTGATCATTCCAATGTCTGCACATTTTAATTTGCCTCCATTGTTCTATGTAGGGTATCTGGTCTGGAGAAGCAGCTACTGGCAACCAATCAGATTGCAGCAGCTGTCAATAGACCAAAGCTGAACTTCAAGGTAAGTACTTTGAAGAATGTGCGTTCAGGGGAAAGTTTTTCCCTCCATCCTCATAGTATTGCCTGCTTATGATATGGAGTGTAGGAGTGGGTTCTTTCATCATCCTCATTTTCATCATCGATATATGGGAGTGAGGTAGTCCTGTAGGTCTCCCGGTCGTCTTCCAAGATATAAGTTCAATTGTCAGTTTGCGATTTAAGACGTAGTGCAGAATTCGTGGATGTCAGGTTATATGAAATTGTTAACAAGCCTTTCAGGAAGCTGTGGGTTACCATGTATAACAGTATATCTTATCAGTGCAGCTGTCTCTGCTTTCTATATAGACATTGCATCTGTCACACTGATATCATTGCCCCCCCCCCCCCCACGCGCACACACACACACACACACACACATGCTGTAGTGGTTTGGCATAGTGTATACAGAGACTGAATGTTGCAATGAGTATAAACTTCTTTTTTTTTATTTATGTTTTTATTAAGAAATCAAATCATTACATATACAAACTTTCCAAAAAAATACAAATGCTGTGTTACAAAAGAAATTAATGACAAATTAAGATATTTACAAACGATTGAGATGATCTGGGGGAAAAATAGAAGTAAAAAAAATTTAAAAATAAATAAATAAATAAATAAAAATAAAAAAGGCAGAGTACACGTAATAGAAATAATCAGAATCATAACAATTACAAGTACAAAAGCAAGAACCTCAAGATAGCATTGCATCAGAAACTGAAAATTTTGTTGGGCCCAAAATGAAGAAAAAGGAGTAAAAATAAGCCATCCACAAGTACAATGGAACAATGAGTATAAACTTGAATGAGTCACTAGCTTAAGTTGCATTAGAGTCTACAGGTCACCTATAAACAGAAACCCACACCTTAAAGCTCTCTTTTGTTCTGGTAATCTATTGTTCCTGGATGTATCATTGTTCCTTGTGATTCATTTCAAGTGACATCATTCTTTACCTAAAATAAAGGATACAAGGTCATTTAAAATCCTGAAAGGCATGTGCTTACTGAGTAATTTACCAGGAATTTGATGAGGAACATAAAATGTAGCATTGACCTCCTTTTTCTAAGAAATTATATTAACAGATTGATTACAAAAACTTCTCCTTTCATTTTTTAGGAAAAATGCTATAAACTGACATGTTTTCATACAGTAAAGATAAAACTGTATTACATATCATGCATAAGTATGTATATCAGTGTATTAAGATGTTGTATGTACATATGCATAGGTACTTGTTCATTTGAATGTGAATGACATTTAACATGAGAACTAAATTTTAAAAAACAGATTTCACACAGAATTCAGCTAAAGATTTGCAACATCGTACAATTTACATTTTAGGAGAAAGGAGTTATAATGAATTTCATGTGTGTCTGCAACTTGTTTTGCACAATTTAGGTGGAGAATTACTTCTGCGTGGGGTCTCCTTTAGCCGTCTTTCTTGCCCTCCGAGGAGTGCGCCCCCAGGGGAACGGATCAATCTCTCACATCATCCCCAAAGCTGTCTGCAGCAGACTCTTCAACATCTACTATCCATGCGACCCTGTGGTAAGGAGCAAGGAAAGATATGACTAAAAATTCCAAGCCCTGTTGAAATGGGGGGGGGGGGGGGATCAGATGAATGAGTCTGTTTGAATGGCATTGTTTTTTTTCTCCACTAAATGATGTCCTTTCCTAGTATATTGTGGCGTGCACCCGTAATCCAGCTAAGAATGGAAGAAACACAGTATATTGATACTTTAAAATGGTATCAGCATCTCAAAAGACATGAAGGTAGAATGACATACTTTTATGGTTTTTGCATTTTTCTATCTCATTCACAGGATGATTCAAAGACTGGATAATGTTAATTTCAGATTTTAAATATTGAATTGCACGACATCTATCAAGATAAAGATTTGACATCTATATATTTTTGCAAACTTTCACCCTCTTTATTGATTATCTTTATTTATTAGGCCTACAGACTAGAGCCTCTAATACTGCGGCACTACAGCACCATCTGCCCTCTCCAGATCCACCGCTTCGAGGGCAAGCAGGTGGCCTACCACACCATCAAGACCACCGCCCTGCCCGTGGCTTTAAAGACCGGTGAGGAGATGAAGGGCATCCAGGAATCGGATGCGGAGATGCTGGGAGCGGGGGAAGAGAGGACATCCCCGGGGTCGTCTACTTCGACCTCACCACAGCATCTACCAAGGGGAGGAGCAGCAGGTTTGTGTTGAGGAGTGTTCATGTGTTGAGGTGGTGGTGGTGTGGTGGTGGTGGTGGTGGTGGTGGTGGTGGTGGTGGTGGTGATGACAATGACATTAATGATAATGGTTACAATAGGAATGATGATGATTGTGGTGTTGGTGGTGGTGGAGACGATGATGATGACAATGGTATTAATGATAATGGTTACATTAGTAATGATGATAATTATAGTGTTGGTGATGGTGGTGGTGGAAATGATGATGATGGCGGATGATATTAATGATTGTGGCTACAATAGTAATGATGATAATCATGGCGTTGGCTGTAGTACGGTGGTGGAAATGATGATGATGATAATGGTTACCATAGTATTGATGATGATTATGGTGATTGTGGTTTTGGTGGTGACAGTGGTGGAGATGATGATGACAATGATGTTAATGATTATGGTTAATGACAATATGATTAATGACAATAGTAATGATGATGATTAGGGTGATTGTGATGTTGGTAGTGATTTAGAGGATTATGATGGTTATGATTATACTTATGGTGGTGAATGAAATAGTGATCAGAATGGGGATGAAGAAGAGGAAAACGTAGTTGAAACAAAAAAGATATTAATAAGAACACAAAGAAGAAGGAGAAGAAGAAAAGGAGGAGATATAAGTAGGGAACTTATCTTGAGATAGGTCATTAGGTGTATACAGCGAAAAATATTCCCACCCCCAAAATACAACATTAAACCATCTCTTCCTTAAACTTTTGACAGGATTCACTGGAATGAGAGCCTGGTTCTCAAAGACAGCGGAGAAGTCTCCTGAGCTGGAGGCACTGGAAGACATGGAGAGAGCCATCCTGAGGATAGAGAACATGGCAGAAAGCAATGAGAAGGTGGAAGAGGACGAAATGGAAAGTGTGGGTAAGTATACTGCAACTGAGAGTGAGAGATGAGAAAAATTACCTGTGAGATAGAAAGAGAGAGAGAGAGAGAGAGAGAGAACATGGTTGACAGCTATGAGAAGATTTAAGAGGACAAAACGGAAAGTGAATTCAAGACAGGCAGAAAGAGAATTTGAAGGTAATAAAATCAGCTAAGTGAATAATGATGGAGAGAGAGAGTGGAAGAATAATTTGGTAAGCAACGTTGTTTGGAATAGCTATTATGAGATAATAGTAAAAGGAGATGGAGTATAAAGAAAGAAGGGCCCAAAAAACAGTGAGAAGGCAAGCAGAGGAAAAAAGAAATGAAGATTGGATACTAATTTCACCATGCAAATCCATGGTCCGATATGAAAGCCTTAACGTTGAAGTCTGCAATAATGTTGGCCTGTATGACCAAGAAAAATAGATGGATTTGTAAGATATCCAGCCATCCTTTAATAATAATAATGATACTACTAATGATAATAATAATAATAGTAAACATTTGTAATGCACCATGTCTGTCTCTTAACACTCCAGGTGCAGTTGTGAGAAAATTGTGGGCATACATCTATCAAGTAATTCAAGAAAGAAAGCAAAATACAATAAGTTTAACACAACTCACTACATAATTTTGCAATAATAGAAGTAGTTATTCATTATTTTTCCCCCCTCTTGCCCTATTTTCTACAGAATTGGAGCACAGGGTTGACTACGAGTTGAAAGAGAGTAACCTTGGAAGTTCCTATCTCTCAGCACTCACCTCTCACACCTCCTACTGGACTGCAGCTGACGTGGGCCTCTTCGTCGTCTCTCAACTCTTTCCAGAGTATGCCTTTGTGGAGTAGACTGCATTCATTACAGAGGGCAAGTCTCCACACTAACTCTTAGGGGGGATGTTGGAGTCCAGAGTGAAAGTTTGGGGTCCATGGCGGTGTTTCATCAATTGATTTTAATCTATTTGATGTTCGATTGTTAAATCAATTGGATTTTAAATTTAGGGGGCTTATGGACATGAAGTCCTTGATTATGTTGTAAAATGTTTGGGTCCATTTGAGGTAAAAGTGTCTTAAATCAGTTAAATCACCATTAAGATTTATTCTAAGGCTTGACACCCCCTCCCTTGTACCGATGTGGTGTTAGTGTTTAGCAATGCGGTAAGCCGGATATGTAACTTTCACCAGTCTAGAAGTGTATCTTAGGGCTCATTTTCTTGTACCTATAATTTCATAGGTATGCTACCTATATGCAGAAATGTTTCGTTATACAAATTGTATGTGTTATTAAAAATATTGTTGATTCTGGTCCTCTTATATGTTCAGTACCATAAAGCAATTTCTAATTTTCGTTCACATTCACATTGCAGAATATACAAGTGACTCATTATTTGCTTTTTTACTTTAAAAAAGAAAATAATTAGAATGTCACAGATGACTTGATCTGTTGCCCATTGTTGTGTTATGTAATACATCTACCTATTTCTACCAACTATTGAATTACATAACATTGTATGAAATTGACAAGAGGCCTGATGTGAATTTATAGTTGAATGTAAGAAAGATATTGAAATGACATCCTTATCAAGAGGACTGATCTTATCATTATTATGAAGTTCAAAATATGTCTGTATCAATATATATTAATATATTTACGTTATTTCAAAGATATTATGAAATTATTTATGACTTGCAAACTCATTTGTGGAATATGTTGAACATGTTACATTCAATCTTCATATAGATGATTTAAGAATCTAATTCTTTCACTGCTTCTTAACTTATATTTGTTGTTCAAAGAAAAGGCTTTATATGTATGCCAAAGTTTGCTTGCCTTTGATTTACACACCTCTTCATTTGATAAACGTGTATCCAGCTTTAAATTTGCAATTTGTTGATGAAGGCTTATATCAAAGTACTCATACGCTGTTAATTTACACTTAATGTATATAATGTTATGTAAAATATGAACAATTATGAGTGACTGAGATTAACATGCACACTTGATATAAATATCTTCAATTTTTAAATATTAAAGATTATTCCTTGAAATGCAGTGTGCGTGGATAATGGTTGATGGAGCTAAAGCTGGCTTCAGGTCTTCAGGATGGTAAACGTGTAATTCGATGGCTATTTCGAGGAAAAAGTGATGTTCTGTCATATGATATGTACCATACACATGTCACAAACATCTATATTTCTAATTTAAACAGTATTGTGTTTATTTCAGGTTATATTACCGGTATGTAATTTATGTATTAAAGCGCACTGATATGTCTTAGGACAGGGATTGGGCTATATAAGTGGTACGTTTATTATTATTATTAAACAGAATATTGTTATTAAGTTCTTCTACAATTATTTACAGCTGGCTTGTAAGACATTTAGAAGACAAAAAAATCTTGATCTTAAGTATATTTATTGTATGATGATATTTACAGATTATTTATTATATATCTTTTGAAGCCAATGATAAAGGTTGCTTGTATCAGTATTGTATTTTTTTCCTTCACGGAATTACTGCCTCTGAATATTCAAGACATGCATTCCTACTTATAATTTATTGATATTTATGTTATGAAAGATATTATGTGAATATGTGTTCTTGCAAAGGTATTTCATATTTGTAGTATGACATATATCAATATAAGTTTAAAGATTGTGTGTAGTGGTAGAATTTATGCAAAGTACATTTGGGGGGGGGGGAATAATTGGAGTATACAACCATATGTGCCATTGGTATTTGAATGTAATTCAGTCTTAATAGTGTAATAACGTCTTTATATTTTCATCCATTTCCCTACTCATTTCGCCTTCCTGTATTCCATTTCATTTACATTCTTCTCTTCTTTCAAAATGAATGCTACATGTACTGGTACCTTGCATATTGTCCGCTCGTCGGTGTTCTAGTATCTTATTTTGTGATTAGCCAGGGGTGATAGTGAGCACTAAAAAAAATAGGTTTTTTGTTTTCGCCTCAACCACGCCCCCCTTGAGTAAAAAAAAAGAAGAGGATTCGCGAGCAAAAAATTGCATCTAATAACATTCCCAGGGCTCGACTTTATCGGGAGCCCGGTGGCCATTGGCTCCCTGAAATCCCTGCGGGCTCCCTGAAAAAGTGCTTGAGGAACCCGGCTGGCTCCCTAAGTTTTTCTAGTATCAGCCACGAAAAATGCTGTTTCTTACCAGCACTTTAATCCATGTTTTAATCCATCTAAAAACCCAAATTCCGCAGTCAAAATCATGAAATATGCGCTAGGCATTCCAAGGCACACTTGGCTCAACTCCAGCGCGAATAATGAGTTGCAAAAGAAAACACATCGAGATCAGTGCAGGAATGCCATGCATGATAACGTTATATCTCCGCACTCGTAACGAGTGCGCAATACATGCTGCATTGTATGTCGGTGCACTCAGAGAATGTACACACTAAGACAAACGCACGTGGTCGCTGCGTTGCCAGAGCTGAGTGTATGTTTACGTCGACTTGTTTTTGTGATACATGTGCGTTTGTGATCGTGAGTGCTTATTCTTCAGCGTGCGTACCTGGATGGACTTGATTATTGTTTGAACATAATTTTACGAACTACTAGTTACTTTCCTCTCTGAATATGATATTATCGTTTGCTCAATCTGTTGAGCAATAATGAAGATTGCATGGATGATTGACTGAACATATTGAAACAGACGGAGCGAGGAAGAGTGACTATATCTCATTCTGATAAAACCTAAAGTCCAATGTTAGACTGTTACTGTAGCCAAAGGGCTTCATAATAGTTGTAAGATTAATTCTTCAGTACAGTCAGTTAATCCTCATGGTCACATTTACACTTAATAATACACCCCTCCCTGGTCCCGGCGCTGATGATTATAACAAAAGGTATCGTGACGGTGTGTTTATGACCACAAAAAAAACGTGATAAACTTGGGCTCCCTGAAACCCCTGCGGGCTCCCTGAAAAAGTGCTTGAGGAGCCCGGCTGGCTCCCTAAAAAAAAAGTAAAGGTCAGGCCCTGATTCCCCCCTTTCGAGTAAGAAAATTGGGGGAAAATAGGGCAAAATAGGGAAGAATAGAGAAAATAAGGGGGGAATCGGGAATATCAGGATAAAATAGGTAAGAAAAAAAAAATCTGCTAAAAAATTTTTTTTTTTAATCCGGATTTTTTTTTTTTTAAATCGGCAAGAAAGAAAAAAAAATCAAAAAAAAAATCGGGAAAAATCAAAAAAAAATCAGGAAACTGATTTAATTCAGGTTTTTATCAGGCTTGGAATAGTGGATGAGTTTATTGCAGCAAATTAGCTTGATGTTAGCAGTCTGTCGCAACTCTGTGTTCTTTATTTATCTACTCTCTCCTGTCTTCTTCCCTTTTTTCCAAAATGAATGCTACCTGCATATATGTGTAAAATGTCATTGCACATTAATTAACTGTCAGTTCATCAGCAAGTCACCCAACATTTTCTGAATTCTTCATATGTTGGTGTATATTTCAGCAAATTTAGCTCGATGTTAGCAGTCTTTCATGAATAACTGAATGTCTGTGTTGTGATCTATGCAGCTGATTATGTCACTTAAGCACTTTTAAACCAAGCCGGTGCCGGAACATGTTAACACATCTTCAAGAGCTTCTATGTATAATTGTGTACAACTCGTCCATTCACGCTTGCCAATAGGCAATAGCATTGACAAAGATTGATGTTGTTTTGTTTGTACCGGTATTTATAGGGCACATTGATGATTTATCCTTTTCTGAGTCAACATATAGTAAAGTATATAATGCAATAGTTTCTCAAAGATTAATATAATAGTATTTGTAGGGTGGGTTTGAACAGGATGGAACTATTTTTTCCTTCGCTAGCACGATGAGTTAAACAATAGTTGTTGGTGTTGTGTTGGGCGACTGAAAAGTACAACTTTTTGTAATACATGCTTCAACTATCTATGTTTCTCAAATTATGTTCAAACACAAGATGCTGTTACATGTATTTATCTATTTTGTAATCTCAAGAATCAAGGCAGTGAATATATTCTTGCATCCTCCTTTTGATTATCAATATTTGTGTATTGATAGTTTTGATAAAGTGTCCTTTAGCAAGACATTAATCTGCATCTGTCACTCTTACGTAGGAAGGAATGCCTTGCCTCCTGTGAGCATCAAAAATCAAAAAAGTTGCAATTATAGGAGCGCTTGATCACCTTGCATGGTGGATAAGTGCGCTTTAGAAATATCAATTTTTTTATAATTTTCTGCAACTCTTTGTTGCAGGTACATGTAAATGTACATCATTCTTAGTATCATTATTTCATGTTAAAATTTGTGTTTGCTACATGTTAGTAATAATAATAATCTACTGCTTATTTGTATATAATCGGAAGAAATGTACAATTAATTGACGAAAGGTGAGTTTTTATCTATTTTTATACTATGCTGTATTTATTGGTGTGTGACTGGTGACACTATTTAAGAACAAGCTTTTCATTCATATGAGTATTTCTTGTCATTGGTAACTGTGCAATTACTGGCATTGTGTCTTTTAATGTCTTTTTCAGCAAGCAAGCTTGATACGTCAACAAATTGTTTAAAAGAAAATGAAAATGAGAAACAAAGATACATGTACATGTATTACCTTTATCTTGAGTTTGTGATCTATTGCATATCATATCAATCATAGTCCTGCAATATAAAATGTTTATTGTTTTCCAGTACTTATCTTGCTTCCTGAGCCCTAATGTTTATTAAAATCATTGCAATGTGTGCTTGAAAGAAATGTATATGAATTATCTCTTAGTCACTCATTTGTTGTCTTTCTTGATAAATCAGAGCTACCAGTTTCCAGATACACTGTATACCTAGTTTTCAAATTCTTGAGATACTTTTTTGTATTGTGTCGTGCAATATGAGACTTCATATTTATAGGGAAATCCAACCATTTGTAAAATCAGACCAATTATAACAAAGTTATGTTTTAATTTTTGAAAATACGAGATCACCAATCCTATGTGAATCTCTAATTGGCAGTTTGGTCAGTGGATTGTTCAAAAGTCACAGATGCTTCCCTCCCCCCCCCCCCCCCCCCCATTGGTTGTGAACCAAAATATGTTTTTCTCCTAAATCCTTTCTCCCTTGGGGCCACTACTCAAACTATGGATAGAATATTATTATAGGTCATCCCTGAGTCAAAAATTTTGGAAAGATTAAAATTTAGTAATTTTGAGTGTTGGAAAGTTGTCCACTACTTCATATAAGAGACATTACAGATTCAGCCAATTTGAAGAACCCATACCTATAGCTACAGTGATTTCAACTTTCAAAAATTCATAACTTTCTGATGTTATGTCCGATTTCATTCAAACCTTCACCAGACTACTTCTCTGAATGTCCTGCTTTCCTCTAGAGTGGTTTGCTATCAAGGTTGGATTTCCCTTTAATACAAATCATACTATAGAATTGGAGCTACACGTAATAAAAACTACAGGAAGTAATAAAAACTACAGGAAATTATTAAAGTAATCATAAATACATCAGAGGAAAACTAAGAGAGTTGTTCAAAACTTCAAATTCATATATTGTGCTTTCTATACAGTGAAAACTCATTGTACGAGCTCCTCATGATCAAGGAAATTACCTTGTCACATATTGGACGAGGGCCAAACAAAATAGAATACTACGATGTAGAACCTGAAATATTATTTATTGTTACAATGAGAGTCCACTATGACAGAGATCCATATAATGAGGTTCCACTTAATATGTATCTTCATGAAACTTCATTGACACAAAAGATGCAGACAAATGCACACTTTAATACAGAATCAACATTGGAGTATAAGTTCATTTTTTTAATGATATTTGTCTTATTCTGATAATTCTGTATTGACACACACATGCATTTCAATTCGAACATCAAACTCACACGCAACTTGGTTTTTTTGACAGCCAGATAAATATCAAATCGGGTTTTAAGAAGACGAGTTATGAATTTTCTGGCTCTTTGACAGATGATTTAGAGTCATCAGTTTCAGCCAGATGGGCTCGTTAATAAGTTATATCAATGAATAGAATCCAACAGATTTGCCAGGGTTTCACGTCATACAAAAAATGGCTTTTTACAACGACCGTGAAACTTCATGTGATATCACAGAGTTTTCTGATCAGTTTTTCATTATTTAACACTTGTATAGTCTTCTACACAATAATATGAGCCATACACAATGATATTGCTGTCTTCTTCTAAATAACTTCACCCTTATCAAGGGGTTATATGCATCTATAATTTGTCAAGAGATACGTTGCTTTTTTCATCACGTTTTAAAAGTCCAATATGTAATTCTGGGACTAGTCTTCTTCCTAGTCCTAGTCCTAGTCGCTCGGTTGTCCGGGTTTGGGCTGCGGTAGTCTACTCTTCCTCATATCAGACTCCATTTCATAATAGGACATCACATTATATTCAAAGATCTCTTGAGCCTGGTAGGTGTCTCCTTTGGTGCTGGCTGGGGAGGCAGCAGCAGGCGGCTTTGGGGGCGCTGCAGGCTTGGATGCTGCCAAAGAAAATGGAGGGGGGAAATGAATCAAAACAAAACAAAATGAATATATCACATTTAAATAATTATACATTTAAAGCTTATATCAGGAATTTAATATTTATCCTACCCTATGACAAAATAAGCATAAAAACGATATACAATTCTGTATTTCTTAACTACATATTCAGTGCTATCAGCAGTAGAAGTAGAAGTAGTATTTTATTGTAGTTCTGATGAAGCTATTCCTTATGATAAACAGGAAGATATATATTCAGAAAGTCAAAAATTCTTAAACTTGCATTATAAGTTGTTTCTCTTTCTCTCTGTCTTTCATACTAAATAGATTTTACAGTCAACTCTGCATAAGTAAAATGTCGGGACTGCAATAAATAGTTCAACTTATAACAAAATTTAGCTTCGGAACTAATAGGAAGTGTAAATAATATGTTTTGTATTGTTTGGCTTAAACAAAATTGATTTGTCTCATGGAAATTCAACTTGTGCAAATTTGAGTTAGGTATGCAGCAGTGTAGTACAAATATATGATGTTAAAACAAAACAATATTGATTCCCTTTTGGAATAAAAAAAATTATCAGATTTTTTTTCTTCCTTGAATTTAATTAGTAATGTTTTCCACTAGCATAGGAATTATTATTTGAAAGTCAGTGATAGAACTTTATAAAAAGTTTAATCAATAGCTTCATGGGTATCAATCACCAAAAAAAAAATGTATGGTTGTGTGACCTTATGCTGTGCAATTTGTTTTCTAGCATTAAAAGTCCCCAAATTTAGTTTTCGTACAATTGCTTTTGTTTATCTTGGAAGTTGGTTCTACATTTTCTGTGGCAAAAATGACAGTATGCTTACAAATTATCAATAGTTCTAAATCAAGGTAAAATTGACATCAGTCAGCTGCAGAATCAATATTTGAATTTATTTATTACATGTGGTGTGTAGCTTATAGATCCTTTCATTTTGCTTAACAAAGTCAATCCAGCCATCAAAATGTACTGGAATGATGAGTTATTGACACTTGTCTGTTGTTATTTTATCCATAAGTCACCTTCAGAAATTTAAAACCACAATACACAATTGAAATTGTCCTCAAACACTAAATTAAAGCAGTTTCAGTCATAGAAAACAAGGTGTGTAGCTTATGGCGCCCCATTATACAGAGCAAGACTAGTTTGGGTGATTAGTTTCCCTTGTAGTAGGCTAGCAAGAATGACAGAAAGATGGTTTCACAGTTTTCTAGAATTATATCGGGTACTGAATTCAACTCAAAGAATGCCCACCTTTTGTTGGCTTTTTATCTGCTAGTATTGTTGTAGTCTCTGAAAGGGACCTCACTGAAGTGGTGTCTGTGACTGGCCTCACCTGAGAAAGAAGAAAATAATTAAAGGTAAAGAATGCAGTAGACAAGAGGAAAACTTGGTTCGGTTCGGGGTTCGGTAATATAATAGCAAGCAGCGTTATAGCCACCGCGGTCGGCACTGGGCGGGCCGGCTGGCCTGCCGGGCCCGACCAGCACGGAGGACGTCTGCACACTGCTTCCTACCAGCACGAATTTCACATTAAAAAACTGCTCTAAACGTAATTATTTGTGAAGAAAAATACTACTTAAGTTTTTTTTTTCAATAGGAAAAATATAAAATCCCTAGTTTCCCTGAAAAAATAAATACCATACTTAAATATATATTTATTTCATTATTTATATTGTAAAATTTGACCAATATTGTTAAAATTAATTTTTTGTTGTTGAATGGGTTTGAGCTGAATTTGTTTTGATCATGCACATGGCATTCTTGTTTATGGCTTGCGATTGCGACGTAGGATTAGGGATTTAAATGTCGCCAGTGAATTAGTCGCACCCACCACTAGATAGGCATAAATCACAAAGGCGGAAAATGGGAAAAAAGTAGATATAAAATAAGCAATCATGACATGAAAATTATTTTTAAAAGTTTATTAGCTTGCAAAAACGTTTACATTTTTCTGCCGAACATCTGAACCAGGCCTTTGCGTTCGGTTCGGTTCGGTTTGGTTCGGAAGTGCCATGTTCGGCGAACTTCGTAGGTCTAAATTCCTTCATTTAGTTACGTTTATTTCTTGTACATCAGCAGTTAGTTCTCGCTATCGCCAATACCCCCAAATGCCACAATGTTGACCTCTTGGATTTAACTTCGAACTACTTCCAGTGCTTACAAGCTAATTCCTGTGTATACGGTGCATGCATGCATCACACACATTCCATGTATTATACATGTGCAGTATGCATAGTCTAAAAGCTTTGGTCGGCTGATATTGACCTCCTTAAATTTTGTGCAAGTCCATGATTGTTCCAGAAGAAACACTTAGGAAAATGCACTGCATGTCCTCCATTTGTCTAGGACTAGAGTCTAGGTCATAATTGCAATCGTGCAGTGATTTCAAACTTGTCTTGCCTTCTGAGCAGCCTTTTCAATGTTGTGCACTGTGTAGGGTTTTCTGGGCATTTTACCTAAGTCCCATGGTCCGAAAAAAATAAGACGTCACCCGCTCACCCCACACCCCCTTACCATAAAGGCATAGTCTAGATCTAGGTCTATGTCTAATGAGGTGAAGTAATATCCATGCACCATTTCCAACGTGTGGGGCAATACAAACTCAATTTTCCATCAAAACAAGTGTTTTTCAACTTAATAACAAACATTTCTAAAATAAATGCATTCAATTTATCTTCTTAATGGTCTTACCACTTTAAGCCAGCATCTTGAAATTAGTCTTAAAGAACTTGCCATGATGAATTTCGACGTCCTTTTCCGCTCTTAAAAAAAATAATTAGAACTTTAAAAAGTGCATTGACCCCTTTCTCAAATCAACCTTTCGATTAGCTTTCACGTGCAGTCAAAGATCCAGCTATTTTACATGATTTATAGCTTTTCAACTTAATGGATCGCCAAAATCTAGTAGCAGAGGGTGACAATGTCATTTTGAAGAAAGGAAAACTCTTAAAAGTGTACAAAGTTATTAAAAAAGCGTAAGTAATTATGTGCAACATTTATTATTCAGTCCCATATGTTGAAATATGCGTAAGTTAACCCCCACGTATTTTTTCTTGTGCCAGTACTTTCGTATCCATTTTTAACCCGTAACTCAGGCGTGGAGATAGCCTACTAAAACATACCAAAAATCAACTAAATCTTCATCAATTGTTCAAATAATGGTCATGATTTAAAAGTCGTTATGTTTCTTACCCCTTTCATTTCAATTTTCTTATCTTTTTTGGAGTATTTTTCCTAAAAACGAATAGACTAGACCAAGGCTACTAGTCTACGCTTTCTCACAGACACAGGTTTCACGGCAAACCGCAAGCCACTGCACGATTACAGTACAATTACAGGGGTACGGGCAAGCCCGTGTGTGTGAAGATAGCGACCGTAAACTTCACGCTCGCGGGCCCGCACCCCTTCGTCGCAATAGTATGCAAATTGCAATTGTGATTGTGCAGCGGTTTGCCGTGAAACCTGTGAGAAAGCGTTTTAATTTTATAATGTCTTTTGTTTTTAGGACAAATTCTCCAAAAAAGAGCATGTTGCATACTATTTTTCCATTCACAAATTATGTTAGAATCTAAAACTTTGTAGTTTCATTGTTTGTTTGTTTGTTGTTGTTTTTTCACTTAGAAAATATTTTTGGAAAAGATGCATGTATCCAATTCACTTTGCTGAGACATTATGCCACTTTTGTTTTTGTCACAGGAAAGTATTTCTGGAGAAAAGGCATTTTTCTCTTGCTCCTATCGTCGGCCATCCGTATGGATCAACATGGGAGCTTCAGAGCGGCAGTCTTGTCCAAGTTCTCGAGAACACAGTATCACAAGACTTAGCTGAACAGATAGGTTGGTTTAGATACACTGAGAACGTTCTTTGATCAATGATTTTATGATCTCCACTAACAGGAAACATGAGAGAATGATATAATCATGTCTATTTTCTGTTTCTCCCTCCCCCCCCCCCCACCCCCTAGCTGTCTTTCTTTCTTTCTTTCTTCATTCCCCTCCCACTTTCGTCAGCCCTATTTCTCTCCATCCCTCACTCCCTCCTTTCCTCCCTCCCTCTTCCCATCCCCCGCTTCCCTCCTTCCCCCTCTTACATCATTCTCTTTCTCATAATTTGGCTTTTGAACTTTAGAGAATGGTTCTTGCTCTATAAGTGTAAAGTTTCCAGATTTCCAAAATCTTTTACGGCGTACTTGTCTTTCATTGTCTTTTTCAATTCTTAAATTATCTAACATATTGCATTTGTACTCCATTCCAAACTTTTGTTGCCCCATTATGATGACATATATATATATATACATTCCTCACCATTATTTTTTCCTAGATAAAGGAGGTGCAGATAATAGGGGTATCTTTGATGGTGATACTACACAAAAGCTTGATAATGATGACATCATGAACCTCAGAGAACAAGGGAAGAGTGGACAGGTAACTAAGGAGTAACAATAAGCACTATTGCAGGATAATGTTCTATATAAAACTCTTTTTATTTCTTTCTTTTTTAAACATAATGTATTTCATTTCATTTCAAAGACTTTATTTTCTGCAATCAAACAAATCAGTTGTACAACAAATATGGATAATTATATAAAACATAAGGTATGCAAACAATATACAAAATATAGAAACAAATGTATAATACATGAGTAAGAGTAAACTTATACGTTGGGCCATTGCGTGTATTTGCCAACTTTTAGAAAGTTACTCTGAATTTTAGATCCGGTCAGTTAGGATTATACAAGAATAAATTCTAACACAACATTCTCTTCTAAATGCGTTACACTCCAAAGTTTTAAAGTTTACTTCCTCTTATTTTATACTCCCTACTCCTTTAAAAAAAAAATCTCTATTGAGTGCATTATACCTTAAAAATCAACTTTAAATTGACCTTCCAATTCTTTTGTTCTCCCATTATTATTTTGTAACTGTTTAATTATTTTTCTTCAAATTAGAGATGGGTATTTCAATGTTTTATAAAGCTTTAAAAGACCCACCCCGCCTCCTCCCACCACCAACATCACCCACTCACATTTTGTAATAATTTTTTTTTCCTTTTTTTTCTTCACATTTTTTATCCCTCTGTACAGGAGATAGTTGACCAATTAGTGGAGAATAGTTCTACCTTCAATGAAAGAACTGTATATTCCAAGGCAAAGTACCTGAAAAAGAAACGAAACAAGTAAGTTTAAACCCGAAAATATTAATTGCATTCCTAGTAGGAAATCATATCAAACAGTATTTTAACAACATCCATTACTAAAATTGTACCTCATATGGTACATGGAGAAGAAAATTAGCCAGCACGTACTATTTGAGTGATACAGACTATGGACTCTCTTTACAAAAGTCACGGCAAGTTGACTAAATAGGTAGCCCTTTTGAAGAACAGTTTAAATTCTACACTGAATTAGATGTTAGTTAGATAATTTATGCCTTGAAAATGATTGAGATTCATTTCATTCTTTGCATTATTTCTTCGATATTGTTATTTTTATGTCACCTCTCTAGGTACATCGTAAGGTTTGTGGTACTGCGACCCTGTATCAGACTCATGTGCGAGATGTATTTCAACAAAGCTCCCTCCAAAGTAATGTAAGTATTGATGAATACTCCTCTTAAAGCTGATCTTGAGCTCTGGTATGGGAATATTATTTTCTGAGAAAATTGCTATGATTTCTTCTGGATTGTTTATCCTGCAGTAGATTGGTTGTTTGAAGAAGAAAAACCCACAAAAACTGACCGGGCATCATCTTCAATAAAAATAACAACTCCAATTTGCACATAGTGGCCTGGGTCCACTTAACCAGATTTTCTTATCTTTCTATGCTCATTACTCAGCTACTAAATATTTTCTACCAAAATTGTTTGGCACATGTCATTTATTTGTAATCTTGAACACTGAGTGTAAGTTTTGTAGGATTTTGTGAGAATTTATTTTCTATATTTACGAGAACTCAAGTTTATCTTTAATATTATTTTTTCTTTCATTGCAGTTAAATTTGTCAATGGAAAAAATCAAGAGAAATGGAAATAAATTTTTATTGTTGTTGTTGTTATTAGTAGTAGTTGTAGTATATAAGTGGTAGTAGTAAATAATAATATTCCGCTTTTACATAGTGCTTAATACATCTAGGATGTCTCTAAGCGCTTTACAGATATACTATTACCCCGGTCATTGGATTCAATACTTGCCCGCACACACTGTGTGCACAATCTCCACTCCCTGGGGAGCATTCCAGCCAGGCGTTACTTGACGCTCAAAAAAGGTTTGACCAACAATGACGGTCGCACCCTACCGGGTACCCATTTAACACCTGGGTGGAGAGTAGCAAGTGCAGGTTAATATCTTGCCAAACGATATCAATGCCGTGTCTGGATTTGAACCCTCGACCTTTGCATATCCAGTCTAGCCTTAAACCACTCGGCCACGACACTCCTACAGTAGAAGTAGTAGAAGAACTATTATTTTTATTACACTCTATTCATTATATTATCATTGTTGTTGTTGTTGGTGTTATTATTATGATTGTTACTGCAATAACATACTTTATCCCGTAGACAAATCCGTATCGACACAATGGCTCAACTCCTATCAGCAGCCAATGTTCAGTCCGGAAGCAAGGTGATGGTGTTGGAAAATTGTCAGGGACTACTGGTAGCAGCCATTATGGAACGACTTGGAGGTAAGGTTGCCTTTAAATGGCAAACAAGTGCATGTATTCATTGGCAATCTTGACAATGTTCAATTTCATTTAACTCCATCATTATTCTTATCTTTTTATTTCCTTTTCAATTACTTTTCTCAAATTCCTTGAAATGCCTCGTAAGCAAGTTCTTTGGACAAAATAATGTATCAACGGCCATATACGTGGGTTCTGTGATGTAAGAATATAAAGCAGAAGCCCCATGGGTACCCGGTAGGAAGAAAGTTCCCTGAATACTTGAGCACCTTTTCATGGTAGCTCGGTTAAAGCCGGGGTAATGATAAGATTGCAGGGCCCTCAGGGAGAGCAGTATGAATACTGATGAGGCTACTCTAGGTAAACAAGACATATTATTATTATTATTATAAACTGGTACTTCTGGCAAAATGATATATCAACTGCCCTTTTGCTAAGGCTACCAGGTGGTATTACCAAATGCTTTCAATTGTGAATGACACTTTTTCACTTTCTGTCCTCAAAAGCTTTTGAACTATTACACTTTATAATTGAGGTATTGTCGCTTCATTTTGTTCCATTATCTACTGCCAGAAAATTCCTTTTGTTATACAATCATTAATTTTGCAGTGTTAAAATGAGAATTATCTGGAAAACTGTCATGCTCGTCAATTTTTCTTTTGTAGGTAACGGGACAGTCGTTCATTTTCACACTGAAGATCAACCAATGAATTCCAGTCTCCAAGCCTTCAACTTCTCACAAAAAAGCAAAGAGATGCTAAGGACTTTCAATCTCAAAGACGTCTACGACAACCTCATCTTGAAGAAGCCGGTCGAGACAATCAACGAGGAACCTAGTCAGTCAAAGGACCTCGATATCAGTCAGAAAGAAGGCGGTGAAAAGATGAGTGAAGGATGCGATCTTAGAAAGGAACCGGTTGCCATGGAAACGGACTCCAGCAAACATGATACGCAAGAGGATGTTACTAGTAAAAACAATCAAGCAGCGTCGTCGACCAAACCGGAGAAAGGAAGTGGAGTTGCAACCACGCACGCAGAAGATGGCATCACTGGGACCAGTGAAGGGTTGCCCATGGCAACAGATGAAGCTGGTGAGAAGCAAGAGGAGCAGCCATCAGCAGATGCTGTGGATCCTACAGACAAAGCACAGAAGAGAAAACTTCAGGTATTTTTTTTTTAAACTGACATTACTCTCGAGAAAAAGGGAACGGTAGATAAAAAAAATTCTGTTATTGTGGCACATCAAAGTATATACTCTAGAAAAGCAGTATTTTTATAGAAGATGTGAAACCCTCATAGTTTCCAGTATTTCTTTTTATAGATCTGTATATGATGCTTTTGTACACCCCCCCCCCCTTCCCACTCTCTCTCTCTCTCTCTCTCTCTCACTATCTCTCATTCTCATTCTTTCTTTCTTTATGAATTTAACTTTCCTCATGTTTTGAACTAAAATATTGTTTTGTTCTTCTTTTTTGACAGTTTGTAAAATTTTTGGAATCAGATATGGATTATAACAAGAGAAAAGAAAAAAAAAGACGGAAACTGGATGAAATGGCCAAAACAACAGAGATGCTGCTGGAGAATAACATGGACACGTAAGTTCCAACTACCCACCAACATTTCTTCAGAACATGTCATAAACCCATTCTGAATACAAGTAAACTAAAATATGAATAGGCCAAATAAGCCAATTAAACTAACTGTCCATGAGTCAGCTAATTTCAGGTCATTCCAAATCTGTTGTTTTGATTTTGCAAACATACCTTACATTTTTGTCTTTCATATAGCAATCTTGTAGACCAAGAACTACATAGATCTTAGAATTCGTATTGCTAGCCAATAAAGTTTGGTATTTTATTTGTCAGTGATGTCAGTTTTTACTGAGCATTTCAGATCTACTATATTATATAGTACAGACACAGTACAAAATTAAAGGATCCACAAATGGAATCACTTTACACTTTCGGGATCTAGATATTTTCTTCATCTTTGTCATTATATTGGTTCTTTGCTCTGTTTATGATCATTTTATTGTTGTTATTTACATATATAACAGATTGCTGATTGCGACGAAGCACCACCCTGCCCCCATTGTTCTAGCCCTTATCGATCATCTAGCCTGGTCAAGGCCTTTTGCTGTCTTCTCACTCTACAAAGAGGTGAGTGAGACACATTCTTGGAGTTTGACGTTTACTTTGATTTCTCTTTTCTTTTTTTTTCTTGTTTTACTAGTGTTTGTTAATAGTATACAATACAAAAGAGTTTTCACATAGTAATAACGAATTTTATGGAGGATGTACTGTTTTTAAGCTCTTCTCACTCTACAAAGAGGAAAGACACATTCTTGGAGTTTGATATTTACTTGGATTTCTCTATCTTTTTATTTCCCGTATTTGTTGTTGAAAGTATACAATACCAATGAGTTTTCACATACCAGTAATAATGACGATTTTTATGGAGGAGGCACTTTTTTAAAGCTATGTTCTTACAGAAATTGAAATGGTGATGAATGGAAATAATATTTAAAGATGCTGTATAAACAAAGTAAAGTGGAAAGATCTACTACATAGCAAATCTCTCTCTCACTTTCTCTCTTTCTTTCTCCCTCTGTATCTATCTCTCTCCCTCTCTCCCTCTCTTTCTTTCTCTCTCTGATATATATATATATATATATATATATATATATATATATATATATATATATATATTTCTTCCTCATAAACATCCCATCCTATATCTTTATTTCTCTCTCTCCCTTTCTTTTTACATCTTCTGAAGTTCTGATCAAAGTATATATTTACTAGTCTCCTTACTCTTTTTGTACACTTCTCTCTAGGCTCTCATAGAGTGTTATGTAAAGCTGCGTGAGAGGGGAGGAGTTATCAACCTCAACATTACAGAGACATGGCACAGAGAACATCAAGTGAGTACATAATATTTCAACATATTCTAGATTTTCTTATTCAGACATTTTCGGACAGTGAGATTTTTTTCCTCGTTTGGTTTTTGATGATTTGATGATACCAGGATTTCAGCACCTTTGTAATTACATGCATAGTGTTTTATTAACCATCATCGTCACATTGGCCTTCCTTTCTAATTTTGATTAACTCATATTACTTCATATAGTGTTAAATCTTGTCTAGAGAAATATATATGAAATATCTATTATCACTAAAGTTAATTTTGGGGTTACATATAAATAATTTTTAAGTGTTATGTGATATGCATCTTTCAAATAATGAGGCATATCTTTTGCAATCATTGTCATAGTTTGCATGTAAGTAATCAATAAAGAACTAGAGCGCATATATTCCATGTACAAGTTTATGATTCAATGCCCTTCTGGCTCTTAAAAGACACTATATCAGAAATTCTGTGACCTACTATTTTTTATTTTCATAACACCTGTCAATCTATTTGTATCCAAACAGGTACTGCCTGACAGGACACACCCCATGACATCGATGAACCATTTAGGAGGGTACCTACTCACCGGGCTGCACGTGGCAAAGTGATAGATGGATAGCTTAGTTCCTGAAACCTACAAGACCATGCACAAGACTGCACTTTAAAGTGATTTTGATCATCATGACTGGGTAGTTTTTAAAGATTCAAGTATTAAAACTTTAGGTAGGACAACAATACTTGTGGGGAGGGGTAGAATGAACACAGAGCTCTGTATAATAAAACCTCCAGGACCATGCACAAGACTGCACTTCAAGTGATTTTTATCAAGACTGGAGATGTTTTTAATGAATTAAGTACTAACACTTTGGGAGGGACGGTGATGCTTGTGGGGAGGTGTTGAATGAACACAGAGTTCTGTATAATGAAGCCTACAAGACCGAGCCGCGACTGCATTTTAAAGTGAATTTTATGACTGGAGAATCATACAACAATGGAGTACCCCAAAAACATGATAGGACACTAGCCTGCCTGTTCAATCAACATTAGAAGAGTTCCTTATAATGAAATCCAGAAGACTGCATTTTAAGTGGACGTTATGATTTTAAAACATCTGCATATATATTGAAACATAGGGTAGGACAACAGCCTGGATGTTGGGAAAGGGTGAAATAAACACTGAAAGAGTTAATTATGATGAAGCCCTCAAGATTTGTTTTAATTTAAAGTAAATATCATGACATGAGAATTTTATGCATTTTTTAATTTGCACATTTTAGATTGTTTTTAGAATTGGGTAAAACTGAGAAAGTTACTTATTATGAAACCCTCAAGATCTTGCACAAGACTGCATTTTAAGTGAATTTCATGGCTAGATAATTTTATCATTCCATCTTCTATCTTACATATGGGGGAGAGATCATTCAACACACAGATCCTTGTAGTAACTTAGGCTCACAAGACCATGCACAAGTCTGCATTTGAACTGTATTTCACGACTTGAAAATGGAGTACTACAACAGAGAATCCACATTTTCTCTGATGCTTTGATAAGAAGCAATATTTTGTATTTCTTTGTTAGACTTGTATTAACATGAAGTAGATTTAAGATATTCCACTTGGAATGCATCTATTTAATGTCTGCATGCAAATTCAAATCAATTTTGTACCACACAAATGACGAACAAACAATGAAAAACATAATTATGTGATAGAATGCAAACAAGAAATTGAATTCATAATCAATGGACTACCTTTCTCCATAAGCCAGGGTTTAAACCTAGACTTCTGGGGCATTGTGAGAAAGTTGCCATTGATTGCAAGTTGCAAAACTCTACTTTGTTTCAATGCCCCACTAGTCTCCTAAATTTCCTAGGATTTTGTTAGGATTAAAGTTTTAACAATTAAATTAAGTTAACTAGATCTATCTTTTATCCCCCCCCCCCCCTCTCTCTCTTTCTATTGGGGTGTTGCAAGAAAGTTGAGTTGCGATCAATTGCAAATTTGCAATTAGTCGCAAGACTTACGCTTGAATTGGGGGTTTTGCAATTGATTGCAACTTTCTTTCACCGCCCCATTAGTATGCTTTTTAGTTGATTTTTAAATTTGCACATTTTTAATTATTTTTAGGATTATATGGCTACTGATACAGTAAAGAACAGTATATGGGTGAAAGTGAATAATTAGATAAATTTCAGTTCAAAATGTAATGTTTAATAACTTTCAACTGTGAATACACCCCAATGTCAGTATCAAGGTATTAAAAAACGCTATTTTATGAAAAATGTGTTTCTGAACATTTACTTCTTTTTGTGTGTCAGTATTGTGTGTACATTTCGTACTACAAAGCTTTGTCTTCTATGAGAGTGGAAAACAGATCATTTAAATCTAATGAAGTACCCCAGCATCAAGATGAAATTATTGGGATCTTATGTTAAAAAGTGCAGACAATAAAGGACAGATTTTGCTCATGCTCTCATCTTTTATTTTACATCATTTCAACAAACCACACCTTGCACACCAACATATAATCGCTTGACAAACAAACAAAGTTTAATTACAAATGACACAAGTGAATTTTATTGAATAAAGGTCAACTTTATTGTCATGACAGTGTACAGGCAGATATATGTACATAATTCTATATAATTCTATATTACGGAGGAAGTGTCATGTTACAAAAGTCAGTAACCCTTCGCAAGAGGGAAAATGCTGACTTTAATAAATGATGATATAATGCACAAATTACCATAAATGCACTTATTTGAGCCATCCACACTGTGCTTGCAGCAGTTGACTGTAAACAAACCTAATGTTGATAGTTTTTCTTTTTCTTTTTGTACAAGAAATAACAAGAAATACTATGATACTACAGCTACATGCAGAGATAGGAAGTTCGCAGTAGAGGACAAGGTCCTTATACTTGGACCTACCAGCACTAGTAAGCTGCTGATACAGTGGCATACACAAGTGAGAGATCAACTTGTTGATTACATACAAAAGAATCTGTTTACTTCAGATGGATCACACATGAGAGAATGGATTGTGATCCAAGACTGGGAGACTAGTGATAGCTACTTAGCTAGTTAACAGAGTCTGCAAATGCAGACTAGCATGTATAGCTAAAATAGAGGATACATGACTGCCTCAATAAAGCTATACATCTTATAAGTTCAATCAAAGCTCTTTAACTAATCTTCTATAAGAACATCATAGAGACGTATCCCTCAGAGACGGTACAATTTGGTTTTGATCGCAGCAGCCCACTATTTCAATGTGGAAGTTCCTGTCATAACAATCCAGTATTCCAATCCCAGGTCTACATGAGCCGTGACCATGCCATGGCAATGCACCATTATGTTGGTATTGAATATGGTTTCACTTCAGCAAGCAAAAAAGCAGTCACGCAAGGCAGCCTCCCGAATAGGAAATGCACTATTACAGCAGTATTTCAAAACATCCTGTGCTTCACAGTGCACTAAATAAAAGCACAAACATGAATACCATACTCCAAAGAATACTAAAATTAGTCTTGAAATGATACAACATTATCTTTTTATTCATCTTTTATTTCTCTGGCACCAAAATTAAAAGGCAGCTGGTTAAAATTATGCCACCACCTTGCCCATAGATGTACGTTGCCTCTAAGAACTACATGTGCAACCTCCTCTCTTGTATGGATGTTCTCAGCTCCTGCACAAGGCTCGCCGTACACCTCACCATCTGCCGAATACCAGTAACCGCCAATGATAACTAGATCATCCAAAGATGGTCATTTCATGGGGCACTGTGTACTCCTGAGTTAGTTGCACTCTTGCCATCTCCCATGCATGTAGCCTCCCATTCACCAAATAAAGCAAATTTGATGAAGCACTGTGTACTCCAGAGTTTGTTACACTCTTGCCATCTCCCATATCTGTAACCTTCCCAGATGGCCATTTGATGAGGCACTGTGTACTCCTGAGTTCATCGCACTCTTCCAGTCTCCAGGATACAACGTTGTCTCCAGCATCCAGTAACAGGACATGTTGCATGGTGGCAGCATCCTGGTGGATGGCTGCCTAGAAGAGGGTCATCTCTTTCCTGGGGTCGACAGGTAGAACACTGACAGTGTCGCTCCCAACCCCACAAAGCATGCAGTACATGGCATACTCCTGTGAAAAGATTTTTAAATAACATTGACAAATTTGAATACATTTCTAGATTATGGCTGAATGCAAGTCTTGCTAATAGTACTGGGGGTTGGGTAATAAGTTTTTTTTAAATATTTTCTGTAACACACTAATTCCACAAGAAATTGAAAAGACTCTTAATTTCAAAGTCAATACTTGGTGATCAAGGTGAACAGCATTGTATTTCCAATTATGATACTAAATACATTGCATATATATCTGTCAATCTCAAAGAGTTTGAGACTATTAATTACAAAATACATGGAAGTGAACCTATAAAGATAAACATTGTTTTCACAAATAGGAATCCCATAATTTTCTTTTCTTGTTTCCATCGTTCAACCTTGTACATGTCTGCTACCATATATTTATTCATTTAATTATTTATTTAATTTCAAGGAACACAACATCAAACAATAACATACATAGACAATGAAAGCAAACAAAAATAATGATAACAGTAAGATTTTTTTTTTAAAGAACAACAACCACCAATGCCTGGGGATTGCCCAACATTACTAATTTTTAGGAAAATAGCTGCAATTCCTCCAATATTATTCAAGTAAAAAAATATTTATGTGCCTTGTATACAAACAACTATTACCTGATACTCTCCTTCTATACTGAACGTGTGCTCATGCTCAGCTATCACATGGCAGCAGTGGGTACATTTGTCTAAAGAAGAAATTGAGAAACAAATGAGAAGAGAGGATGGGAGGGTTTAGTAGAATATATTTTTATGAAATTGGCTATTAAACTGGTCAATTGTTAGCACGTTTCAGCAATTTGATCATTAGCCCGTTTGTTTCAGTGAACGATATGAATTCATTGTATTAAGTCGAGTGGATTGATTAAATTTATGTTTAGTGCCATCTACAAGCTACTAAATTATTCACACCCTTTTTTATATCCAGTTGATGGAACCTGATTATATTGCAGGCATCCTTGTGTAATATGGATGTTAGATGCACTTAAAAAGGCAGAATGAAGGCATGTAATGATGCAATGTCATGAATGTTGTATATAAATGCTGTGAAGATGAGATATTCTATGATTAATGAGCGAATTGGAATAATAAAGAAACAACCAATTACAAAATCAAGATGCTTCCGCTATACTGTTAATGGAAATTCATTTCATTCCGCTGTCCTTACTTCGAAGTAAATCCTCTGTGATGACAGTCACAGCCATTGGCTCGATTGTTTAAGGGAAAGAAATTCTATAATTGAAGACGGATGAATCTATTTGATTTGATTTTTGTCTACCAGAAAGTGGAAACCTCATGTCAACAATATCTGCAAGACGAGCAACAGCACTCTTGGTCTCCTCCGACGTTACCTAAGGAAATGTCCTCCATGAATTAAGGAGCAAGCCTACAAGACATATGTCAGACCGACCCTGGAGTACTCCTCTACAGATTCAGCAACAGTCTTTGGATTCAGTTACCTGTATTCTTAAGAGTATATTTTACCGGAAAAACACATCATTGGCAGATGTCGTTTAGAACGGCAAGATCTCTCAATTCTACGAGCAAATGGGAGCTGATTTAATGATGCAATAATCACTGCCTATTTGTTTCTGTTTATGATGCAAACATCTAGATTTGTATTTTGCTGCGGCACAAACAACGTATAGCAGGAAAATGTTGTAAATGCAGATCCATTGAATGATTACATAATAGCGGAGTGGCGAGCTACCTACCACGATTAGGCCTAGCCACGATCCCACAAGGCGGGATGGTTTAAATGACTTGGGCAGGTGAATGTTAATGTCTTGGGAGGGAAAGGAATCTTAAGAAAGGCATAATAAGAGAGAGAATGGGCGTAGAAGCCACTCTAGCTTTGTAAGACACCAGATCCATGACACAAATTTACGAAAGACGGGACCGAGCCGGGAGCAACAGCTATGATGAAGCCGACGGATATCGCCGAGCTAGTCCGTGGGGAAGTGCGTGAGTCGCAGAAGAAGTTGGTTGATAAACTTGAAACGATGGTCTCAAAAAAACTCAACCATTTCCAGAAAGATATTAATGAATCACAAATGTCTTTAAGTGAGATGAGAATCTAGCAATATCACCCTAGATCCAGTATGGATAAAGAGAATTTTTGCTCCAGCAAGGAATTGTGATAGATAGTTATTTCTTTGTGCGAGTTATAGTTTGGATTGAAATGGAAGGTGTTTCTTCAGGAAATATTGAACAGCCAGATATCGGAGGACAAGGTGAGCCTGTATTATTAGACGTTTTAACTAATGCAATTGATTAGGCTGTAGCACGAGCTTTAACTCAAGCGATTGGGGGAATTCATACTTACGTTGAATCTCATAAGATAGCCAACGAAAAGGCTCCTTTAGATATTGAAAAGCTAAAAGCAAAGAAAGTCCCATTCCAATTCAAAGGGAAAGAGGAGCAAGTGAATTTCAATTGTTCGATATTAGATCAACTGCAAGAACTAAGAAATCCCTTCCCTTAGGCAGTAGTGCAGCTCCAATCCTCGAGAAGGCCGAAAAAGAATTAAGTCAAAGGAATAAGCTTGTCAAACTTGCAGACAAGTCGGCTGTAGATGAATATCTGGCTGATGATTTGGCCAAAGATAGTGAGGATGTCAAGAAAATTTGTTATATATCAAATTTGGTATATCAAAGAAGATATATTCAGATAACTTGGACCCGAAATGGGGTACACATGATATTGATAGATTTGCCAACGAATACAATACTAAATATACTAAATGCACAAAATCTAATTCCAGATGGTGGTGTAACCAGACAAACGGCATTAACGCATTCAGCCAAAGTTGGAGGGAATGCAGAAATTGGTGGGTGCCACCACCAATACTAGCCAGATAGACAATAGTAAAAAAAAAAAAATAATGAAGTAAAAAGCACAAGGCACTCTTATCCTATGCTTTTTATTAAGTTCCTTTTTTCACATGTAATTTAGAAATAATTTAGTGTACATGCCATACAAACTTATGCTGTGTAGATGTCTTTATTGTTCACGAATATCATTTTTGTGAACATGCTATGTTCTGTTAATGTATTGTATTTTTTCATGTGAAAAAAAAGAAACTAAACTGAACTGATTTTACTAATTTGAAAATCTGCTCCTTTTTGGTCATAGATAAACCATAATGGTAAACTTGTGAACTTCATCAGAGAAGTTGAATTCTTTGATTCTTGCATAACAAAGAAAGGCAGAGGAAATAATGTAAAGGTATATTTGGTGATAAGAGATACAGGTTTGGTATGGTTGCAATGAAATTGCATTTTGAATATATTTCTACATACAGCATTAGGAGTAAGAAATGCCGTCAATGATCAGATGAAACAGGCTCAAGTCACTTCTTCAATATTCATCCAACTGGCAGACCAGATGGTATTGCGTATCATCAAATCGAGGAGCTGAGTCTCATGCTTGAAGTAGTTCAGGAATACTCCACCAAATGGCAGTACACCATCAATGCCTCTAAGAGTAACATTGAAATGATGGGATCCTCCATATCCTCTACTTTTTGTTAAGGTAGGGACGAGATACCCCAGACTTAGACGCACCCTCATCTTGGAATTACGCGCACGGCTTGCCCATCAGACCCCAGCGCCAGGATGATCTCAACCACCGGTGACCGAACAATGTATGCCCTTACAGGTGTTGGAGCACACAGAAGCGGCCTACCCCCTCACATCTCCTCAATCCTATGGGAGAAGTTCTGCATCCCGAGGATGTTATACAGGGCAGAGGTCATGCCTCTGACAAAGATGGCCAAGCTCCACCTGGACAAGGCCCAGACCCAGATGTTCAAATCTATCTTGGGACTCCCTCGCACCACTGCTACCGAAGCAATTTACATCTCTTCACAGGACTCCTACTGTACCTATCTCGGACAGCCTCCATATCCAGCAACTGAGACTACTCGGCCAGCTGCTGCTTCTCTCACACAGCAGATTTGAATCCAGGGTCTTCTTCCACATGTTATGCCACCATCCAAGCACCTGGTATATTGCTTCATTCAGCGACCTCCTCAAGCGTTACTAACTACCACCCATGTAGATGCATTCAAATTCACACCTGCACCGCCCTGATTAACGTTAAGGTATTCAAATTCATGGCAGTCTTTTTTTTTTTTTACTGTTTATGTTCTTTGCAATCTGCATCTGTTTGAATAGATTATGCAAGCTTTATGTACCTTGAGTTGAAATGGAACCTTTGCCTTATATTGAAATATCTCATTCCTCTGACAAACCGTCATCGAAGCAAGAGCTTGTATAACTCCACTTCATAGGCATACAATCCATTTATACACGATTAGGCGGCGGCTCTAGGAGAGTACATGGATATCTCGAATTCGGACAGAGCTAGGTTGGCTGAAGCATTTGACAACCAGCAAGACTACCTAGAACTGGCAGACACTCTAGGAATAAACAGGTCTAAGGCTAGGTCGATTGTGGCAACGTATGTGAACACGGGGAGGGTCCAAAGCTACCAAGGGGTGGGGCCCAAAATGTGAAAATGGATATGGACATGCCCAACCATTTGGAGAACATCACAGATGCTAACCCACTCTTAATGCTTCGACAAATGAAGGAGAGTCTTGAGCACAACCTCCATGACAAGCCCAAATTTATGCAATAATGTATAAGAACATGAAAGTACTAAACAACCTGGACAGAAAAAAACTTTTTTTTTCCAAAAGTCCATGGAGACCTTTCTTTTCAACCATTAAATCAATCATGTATGCCCTTGCAGTATTTACCTTAAATGCCTTTAATACACTAATGTAAATTTATATGATAGTTTGTAAAGCACTGTGATACACTTATTGTAGAGAATATAAGTACCAATGTTTTATTTTACTGTTTGAAAGAAATGAACATGAATCTTTAGAGACATGCCCTAAAAGCTCAGATAATTGTGACTGATTTAACATCAGGAAAATCATTTTCCCACACAAAGTTGTCAAACACTAAATTATACTAATCAGTTTAAGTGTTATGCAATAGAGGCACCAACTCTACATTCATAAAGTCGATGTCTTCTTATCTACTAATATAAGTTCAATAAATATACATGTATGATGATGCAATCTGTGATGATGCAATCTGTTATGATCATGCAGATCTGATGACTGTGATATTGAATTTTTCACATGCAGAGGGATTTGAATGTTTATGCATTGTTTCCTCCTTTTTTTTTTCATCTTCTCTTTTGTATTTAATCTTGTTTTTATGAAAATTATACACCAAAGTTATTGTTACCTGGAATGTTGTATATTTGTGAGGATCATTTTTAACAAGCCATTTATGTGCTTTTCATGATTCTCCCACTTCAGATATCTCATTATATGCTTGTATTTTGAAGATTATGTAATATTTTTTAATTTTTTTATCTTGACATGGAAAAAAATGAAACAAAAAAGATATAAATGAATGAATGTGGGTGGACATTTATGAGACTCTTCATCTTACAAGGAGTCCCAACAAGCACATGAATCCTAGTTACTAATTGTGTATAGAAAACAAAGCCTTCAGTCGATTTACCCCCCCCCCCCCCCCCCAATACTCACGTTCATACGAGATGACCTCCTCTCCATCGTCCTTGACCTCTACATTCCTCTGAGCGATCTTGATTGGTTCTCGTTTCTGACACTCGGCACAGTGAGCAAAGTTGAGAATGTAAGATCCGTTGTCCAAACATATGTTGCCCTGATATTAAAGGAGATGAAAAAGGGTAGTGTCTGACATTTGCAATCACTGAAAGAAGGAGTTATTTTAAAAGAGCAAGGGTATACTTCAAGAGAGATAATCTACAACAAAAAATGGAACAATAATCAAGTAAGAGCACCAGGTTATTCAGAATTGCCTAAAAAAAAGTACTCAAAATAAAAATGCCAAGTACTCTAATGACAGACATCCCTCTGCATGATTTGACATTATAGTCAAATGAATATCCAACTGGAAAGTCTACAGGAAGCTTGAGAGTGAAATAATCTATAAAAGTAGAAGAATTCAAGGGAACCAACAGCGATGACATGGGGTGAGCATGAGCCAGGCAATAATGTATGCTCTGAATAATACTGAAGAGTCATGGGCTGGGTGGAGATGAAAAAAAAATGATGATGAAAGAAAATGGAAATGAGAGGAAAAATAAACAGGTGCACACATTTGAAAAAGAAGGAAGAACAACATATTTCAGTTTGCACACAGATTCCACAAATACTTCTGATCAGCCTGAGAAAATTCATGCACTAATGCATGAAATGTTGCTATGCTGGGTCTCGGTCGATTCGGTGCACACAAAGGAATGTGACAAATTGTAACTCTAATCTAATGCATGAATTTTCTAAGGCTGATCAGAAGTATTTCTGAAATCTGTATGCATAGCCACGTCTACTCAATGTTCGTTCATTTTATAACAAAAGAGGTTAGATACCCAGCACTCATTTCTTTGTCAAATTCTCATTTTTCTGCTTCTATTGATTTAAATTTAAAATTTAAACTCAACTTTAAAATATCACAATCAGATATCAGGGAGGAATTCAAGTTATATATTACAGTGCAACTCGATTCTCTTCTATTTGAAAGCTTGAATCAGCAGGTGACATTCTTCTCTTTCACTTTTCCGAGCCGTCCGACATTGTTTTGTGACAGCAGTTTGTGTCAAAGAAAAGCCCCTACATGATCATGCCTAGCTACGGGACCGAGGTAGCTTCGAGGCCCAGAGTTTGCCGTCACGAGGCTAGAGAAATTGCATCGGCCGCATTCCACCTCAATATTTTCATAAACTTACATCGCGACAATACCCGCAGTGTTTCGGTAAAATGACACATCTTACTAAAAATGATCATACCAATTTAACAGAGAAATGTATAATAGTATACCTACCCTGTCTGGACATTTGCTTTTTACACATTCCCCGCACATATTGAATGATTTCAGGCAAGAATTCTTGGCTCTTTCTCGATTCTCTCAATATCACACCCAAGTTATCTATGGGTGCTTCAACAAGACAAATTTCCAAATATTTTCCTCTCTCTCTCTCTTTCTCCACCCTAATGTTTTTTTTTCTATCTTTTAGATTGTAGTGCTCTCGCATGTTACAATTATTACATTATATTTTGATCGAGTATTTCGATTATTATGATCATGAAAATAATCTTATCTGAATCTTATCTTTCCGACCCCCCCCCCCCCCCCTCTTTCTTCTCTCTCTCTCTCTCTCAGTCTCTCTGTATCTATTCACCCTTCTCTTCCTCCCTTACCCCCTTCTCTCTCTCTCTCTCTCTCTGTTTCTCTCTGTATAATATCTATCTCCATCTATTCACCCTTATCTTCCTTCCTTGCCCCCCTCCCCCCCCCCTCCCTCCCTCCCTCTCTCCTCTCTCTCTCTCTCTCTCTCTCTCTCTCTCTCACCCTCTCCCCTCTATCTCTCTCTCTATCTCTCTCTGTCTTTCTCTTTCATCCCTCTCTCTTCTCTCTATCGCTTATCTGGCTTCTATTTTCCTATAATGTTTTCTCTTTGCGACCTCAACTTTGTTGTCATTTTGCTATTAAATCAGCACACAGACGCTTTTCTGTGAATGATATTAGCTCGGAAACATGTTTATCCGTAATATTATATATACAAATACCATTGAGTGGATCTAAGTACGCAAAACGAGGAATGTATATCAGTGATCCTAAAAATAAAAATTGAATATAATTATGATTTATCCCAGGTCGGCATTTTAGGGCATACTCTTCCCCAACAGCCTATCGGAACGTCAGAAAAATGAAAGTTTTTTCCCCTCAACGCTGCACTATGTGTGCAATACCTTTCAATTGTATACTTTCAGTAATATTATAGTTGTAACATTAGCGGTAGTAGTAGGAGGAGGAGAAGAAGTAGTAGTGGTACGTAATAGTAGGAGGAGGAGGATTAGTATAGTAGTAATAGTAGAAATGGTAGAAGTAATAGAAGTAATAGAAGTAGTAGAAGTAGTAGAAGTAGTAGAAGTAGTAGAAGTAGAAGAAGTAGAAGTAGAAGTAGCTAGTAGAAGTAGTAGAAGTAGTAGAAGTAGAAGTAGAAGAAGTAGTAGTAGTAGTAAGAGGGGGATTAGGAGTAGGAGTAGTAGTAGTAATAGTAGAAATTGTGGAAGTAATAGAAGTAATAGAAGTAGTAGAAGTAATAGTAGTAGTAGAAATAGTAGAAGTAGTAGAAGTAGAAGTAGTAGTAGAAGTAGGAGTAGGAGTAGTAGAAGTTGTAGAAATAGTAGAAGTAGAAGAAGTAAAAGTAGTTGAAGTAGAAGTAGTAGAAGTAGAAGTTTGTATAGTAGAAGTAGAAGTAGAAGTACTAGTAGGAGGAGGAGTAGGAGTAGTAGAAGTAGTAGAAGTAGAAGAAGTAGAAGTAGAAGTAGAAGTAGAAGTAGAAGTAGAAGTAGAAGTATAAATAGTAGAAGTAGTAGAAGTAGAAGTTAGTAGTAGAAGTAGAAGTAGAAGTAGAAGAAGTAAAAGTAGTAGACGTAGAAGTAGTAGAAGTAGAAGTTAGTAGTAGAAGTAGAAGTAGGAGTAGTAGTAGTAGAGGAGGAGGAGGAGTAGGAGTAGGAGTATAGGAGTAGGAGAAGGAGAAGGAGAAGGAGAAGGAGTAGGAGTAGGAGTAGTAGTATAGTAGTAGTAGTAGTAGTAGTAGTAGTAGTGGTAGTAGTAGTAGTAGTAGTAGTAGTAGTAGTAGTAATAGTAGTAGTAGTAGTAGTAGTAGTAGTAGTAGTAGTAGTAGTAGTAGTAGTAGTAGTAGTAGTAATAGTAGTAGGTTTGCCGCTCCTCCCCCCCCCCCCCCCCCCAAAAAAAAAAAAAAAAAAAAAAAACGATTATGATTTTTTGTTTTAATCTCCTGCAATGAATTATTGACCACCCGCTTTCTACCGATTTCAACGAATCGTGTTATATTCACTCGTTCATATATAGCCTGTAATGACCGACGAAAAGACAAATACGAGAAATACGAACGTTGTCTTGATTTCATTTTAATCATTTAAAAAAAAGGACATGCACGGTGCACCTTCACACCTTATCGATATTGACAATAACAAACATAAAACATGTAATCACAATAATCTTACGAATATGCATTCACGACAGATCACCAAGTACAACTCACATAATTTTATAACAAATAAATAATTAACATGCTCTCAAAGACTTTCTAGAAATTGCCTAAAGGTGAATTTCAATAGCATACCGCAAAATACAAATGCACATCTGAAAGAATAAAAAGACGAATAAAAAATAAAAAGGTAGTTAAATGTACAGCAATACAACAATTACGTACCCTCATAGATATACGAGGCGGAGGGTGAGGGTCTGGGGCTTTGTTTTAATGCATATAATGCATTCACTAAAACGTGTCAGAATTTAAGCTCGCTCGCTTCGCTTTCTCGTAAACTAGGGGGTATGTATTCCGGTAGAAGATGCGAATCCTCCTAGAATATTATTTGTACTCACACACCTTTGCCAACACCTTCAATCACAAATTTAATTGTGCCCTCCCCCCCCCCCCACACACACACACACACACAAGAGAGAGAGAGAGAGTGATTAATTAATACTTAGAAGCATGCTCTCTATTGGCATAAAAATGTCAAGTTCTAATACATAAAAATGCAAAAATACTCGATGTAAGCGTATTGGCATCAAAATGTCAAGTTCTAATACATAAAAATGCAAGAATACTCGATGTAAGCGTATGATATAATATACATGTATATATCTCCTCCCCTCCCATTCTCTCTCTCCCTCTCTCTCTCTCTCTCTCTCTCTCTCTCTCACACACACACACACGCACGCACGTACACACGCACGCACACACACACACACACACACACACGCACACGCACACACACACACACACACCCTTCTCTCTGTCGTCACCTCTCTTTTTCCCTCTCCCCACTCTCTAAATAATATACCTAGTTTACATCCTCTGGGACCCATAAATATCAACTCAGCCGTGCGATGTGATTTCATTTTCTTCATTCAAATGTTATATTTCATAACTGGCTTTACTCAACATTAGCCGTTCCGAATCCCTCCCCATCCATGATCTCTCTACCAAAGAGCTTTACTGTCGACTTAGTGACATAAATATATAGCTTTAACAATTATTACGGGCATCGCAAAAATGCTGAGTGTAAGTTTTAAACAAATATAGTGTACTTCGAGGAATAATATTCATATCAATTTTATACAATATAAACGTTTTTGAAGTTCGACAGACTCAATGCAAATGATTGTTATCTTGTGCATATTTAAAAAAGACGACAAGCCAATGATTAAAAATTATATTTAAAAATCTTTCAAAAGAGCAAGAGTTTGGAATACATCAGCTTTGACATTTCTAAGTTATGAATTCAACGAAAAATTGCGCTTTTATTTTATTTTTTATGTCTCTTCATGTTTTGCAATTGATACAATTACATTTTGAACATCCAGACGAATGGAGTATATAAGAAAATGAAGAAAATAAGTAACATTAAGGTCCATGCTCAGCTAGATTTTCGGGACATATTGAGTTTTCTGTTATCTTCCAGGTCCTGTCGGGGTCATTGACCACCTTCGATTCAGATGATGAAGCGGAAGACGATTGCGAAGACGTATGGGTCATTGTACTACCATCATTTGTTTCTGGCTTTTTATGACAACAGCAACAACAGTTACTGTAGTCGAGTTTCGACCAATCAGTCTGAGTATCCGCATCAAAAGACGGGATGGTTTGAGTTTGCATAATATCATCAACCACTGAAACCGTTTCGAAAGGTACACCCGATTCTAACTCCTGCATCTCAAAATCCTCCCCCTGGCTTTCACCGCCCACAACAACATCCGTTGTTATGACAACGTACTCTTCACTTTCGGAAGGCATCTCTTTTAACATGATTCCGTCCGGGTCGTCCAATCCCGGCTTTCGACGCACTCGTTTCCTTTTCATGATTCTCCGGATGACCCTCCGTTTCGTAAACTGCTCTACCTTCTGCGCGTTCCGCTTCTGCAGCCCCTGCAGGAGCATGGTGACGAACCCCATCCCGAAGAGGAGGTAGAAGATGAGGAGGACTTTGTAGACGACGTGGCCGACGACGCTCAGCGTCTGGCCGTCGCCGGCGACGTAGTCCCCGAATCCGATGGTGGTGAACGAGATGACGGCGTAGTACTGACTCGTCAGCCAATCCCAGCCTTCGATGTACTTGAACAGGCACGCGGGGATGATGATGAGGATGACGTAGAAAGCGAAACCGGAAATGACGACGGCCGTGATCGTTGCGATCCGGTGCGATGGTGACGATTTGCCCGTGGTGATGCAGTGCATCCGATGAAGAAGACGCTTCCAGATGCCCCTGAGGCGCTTCTTGAGTTGCTGGCCGATGATGGTGACGAGGAGGCCGCTGAGTGGTATCCCGATCAAGGCGTAGATGATACAGACGGACCGGCCAAGTACAGTGCTAGGAGCCAAATGACCATAACCTGCATGTGTGGTAACATAAAAGGAGAGAGGGAGATAGAGAGAGAGAGAGAGAGAGAGAGGGAGAGAGAGAGAGAGAGAGAGAGGGGGGGACAAGAAAGGGATAAAGAGGGAGAGAGATAGAGGAGGAGGAGGAGGAGGAGGAGAGAGGGTGTTAAAGTAAGGGGCAAGCAGATAGAAGAAAGGGAGGAGAGAGACAGAGAGACAGTGAGAGACAGAGAGAGAGACAGAGCGACAGAGACAGAGAGAGAGTAAAAGATAAAAAGAGACAGAGACAGAGACAGAGAGAGTGGAAGATATAGAGAGACAGAGAGACAGAAACAGACAGACAGAGACAGACAGAGACATAGTGTGAGAGGAGGGAAATAAAAATCTTGTCATTAATAATTATTGAGAAAAATGTAGTATTTATGAAGCAACACTAATCATCGGCTATCTAGACATTAATAAACAAAGCGGCGGAATCCTCCCGAACAATGTGGAGTGGAATTATATACAGCCCCTCATTCTGGTATAAACCAAAATAAAATATGGCTTCCTTGTTAGAGCTTCAAATGGGGTGGGTACACCACTATTAATGTTAATATTGCCATTGCTTTTTCCTCTCTTCTCCTCCTTCTCCTCTCCTCCTTCTTCTTCTTCTTCTTCTTCTTCTTCTTCTTCTTCTTCTTCTTCTTCTTCTTCTTCTTCTTCTTCTTCTTCTTCTTCTTCTTCTTCTTCTTCTTCTTCTTCTTCTTTTTCTTTTTCTTTTTCTTTTTCTTTTTCTTCTTCTTCCTGAACCTGTTACCTCTCCGTTCTCGATCATAACTAAAGACAACAAGAACATTCTTGCCACGCCGACTAAATCGATATATCGAATCTTCAACCGTGCTATTAACTTTCTTCCTAGAGCTCAAGTTACTCATTGGCACGAGGCTGGGTTACTTTCCCCTTCTAAACTAATCAACTGGACTGAAATCTACTGCTATCCATCATCTAAGAAAGATGGGGACACTCAGTACAAACTATTACACAATGTTCTTCCGTCGCTTGCCGTTCTTCATCATCTTAATCCCGATATCTCCTCTTCATGTGGATGGTGTGGCAAGAAGGGAACTATTCTACACCTCTTTATCGAGTGTACTTCTATACAACCGGCCTTGGATCTTCTTCATCATCTTCTGTCAAGTCTTCTACCCGAAGTAAACATTGACTTTGACCTCTACTGGACTCTGGTTCCACATGCAAGAGGTCGTAACAGGGAGGCCGTGCGCCTATCCAACTTTTTTATTGTCATTCTTAAAAGCACATTATATTGGCTTTATCGTACCTCTCGTTTTCTTGATCCACTTCCTTTTTGGAAACTTAGAATCAAGAACAGAGTCATTCTTGATTATGAATTTCACAAATTACAAAACAATTTGGTGTTATTTCATAAGATATGGTCGTACAATAATGTACTCTTTCTTTCAGATGATATTGATCTCACATGGTTGATTTAATTGTTGTTTGTGATAAGTTTGTCTTGAGAAGAAGCTCTTAGTTGGAAGTTATGAATTCCCATAATTTAATCGTTTTGAAACACTCTATGGGTGTGTAATCATTTGTAATCAGTGTTTAGTACAATTTATGTTTTTTCTCAATTTCTACCGTCGAAATTATTGTTTTTTTATGAATTGTTTAATGGTTACTTTCTCATGTATTACGTACTACTTGTTGTTGATTATTGGTATATGATTCACAAACACTTATTATATTAAGTGCATCACTGTTATTTTTTAATCTGTTTTAATTATTATATGTATTGTAAATAAAGTTTTACTTTCAAAAGTCAAAAGTCTTCTTCTTCTTCTTCTTCTTCTTCTTCTTCTTCTTCTTCTCCGAAACGGAGATTAACACAAGAACTTTACAAACATACTTTCAAAAATTGGCGCGGACTGGACGAAGAATCATTATCTGATTACGACGACATTTTAATATTAAAAGAATTGGTCATTTTCGTAAAATAAGCAATAATGAGCAACGACGAGTGTAAAACATGTTTTCAACACAAATTGTCACAATTTGCCTTTATACAATGATTAGTAGTAATCAACAGAGTAGTAGCTACGGGGAGGGCACGGGGATTCCCAATCAAATAGCAAAACACAGGGAAGGGAAAGGGGGAGGAGCAAAGAGAAGGAGATTTTTTTTTTAATAGAACATGAAAAGAATACAGTACCACTACCACTCCCACTCCCACCCCCTCCAGAACGGCGCTATTGGTAATTATTTGCATCTACACATACCGGTGCAGCATCTTTTAACCCACCTCCATGCGGGCTAGACCCACAACATGCCATCATAGCAATTAACCGAGACATAATATCGAACGAACATTGATGGCAAACAGCATTCGATCGAAGTTCAATGGTCATTATTTTACAGTCAGTGGGTGACTAAGGAATTGTGACAGCACAATACTTACACAATCCCCGCAAAATAACATCTTCAAATTTGTATGCCCTTCCAAAGATTGCTAATAGGCCTATTTGTCACAAAGTCAGTCAAGAGTCTAATGAACTCTCAAACTGCTTAATTTGACAATCGCGAAGGAAAAGGTTAGTAATGATAGTAATGCAAAGTACAATCTCTTAATTTGTTATGGCTGAGAATATGCCTTGTGAAGGTTATTCATCTCTGATCTTAACTCATGTGTTTGGTTTAATTTGTATTTTAAAAACTAGCTAAGCTATGAAGAGTAATTTGAGTTAAGAAATTTAAAGAGGCACCTCACCGTATCCAATAAACACACGTTTTTAATAATAATAATAATAACAGGCATTTCTATAGCGCCGTCTATCTAAAAGTTCTGCTTTAGCCTAGCTGCCATTACAGCGCTGATCCAGCATTTCAAGGTATTCATTCCTGCCAGGTACCTCACCTGGGTCGAGTGTGGCAAATGAAGGTTAATGCCTTGCCAAAGGACATTAGTGCCGTGTCGGGGATCAAACCACGACCTTTGAATTTTAAAGCTTATCTGCCGTAGTTTACAGGAGGGATTAGACCGCCCTGCACGGTCACTGGACAGGTGGTTATCTCATCAACTCAGCTCTCAGTAAACATAAGAAAAGAGGATCATGGGGACCAATGGTCACCAATTAGGCATTGTTTGTTATATAGAGGGCGCAAGTAGCTACAAGTAGTGCAGTGGGCCTTTAAGTCAAGTGCCTGAACCACTCGACTACGACACTTCTACAATAGTGCATGTGAGATGAGGTTTTGAGATAAAAATCAAATATCAATCTTGAATATCCGGCCACAAAGTTGGCTTATTTATTATTTCCATATTTGGAATGAGGCATAATTAGTACTATACCCGTTTCTACACGATTTCGTCTTTGCGTGGATAGGTATAATGCAGGGGCCAATATACAAAATTACTTTACATTTTAAGCTCTTATCTTTATAGTGTGCCTACCTTACGGTATTCATTACAAGAAAAGAAGAATATAGAGATCGCCGACAGACAAGATAGTATTTTAATTAGTGTGTTTTTTTAATTCAAAAAAGAAAAGCACAAAACATTGGGTTTTGTAAGAAAGATTCGAGATTTTTGAAAATGGAACAAAAGAAGAATGCAACGTGTGAATTATATTATTATGGATCATGAGGTGTTGTATGAAGCTACATTAATCTTTAATGAATTAATTTTTAATAAATCTGTTTTGACTCAACGAATAACGTGTTAATCATTAATTTGGATAACCAAACTGATAGCGCTCGTAGATTCAAAGAAAAATAAAAGATTACCTGTCACTCATCGGCAATGTTATCAATGTGTATGATCTCATATGATAATTAAAGACCGGGATTGGCACTTTAATTTCGTTTAATCGCCCATTCTTCTGAGCAATTCTGAAGTAAAATTGCCTCATTTACCTATTATTCATGATTGTACTTACTAATCTATCTAACCATGGTTTTTTTCTTTCTTCTTCTTTTTTCATCGGAATGATGAAAACATTACAGGAGTAAGAAAGTGTAATAGATCATGAATGTCTGGTGATGAAGCTGGCTGTAAGCAGTATACCTCGACTTTATTTATTACGAAACCGCAACATAAAATGATATAGAGAAACAACAGCAGGAGAGAAGGGGAGGAGTGAAGGGAGTGAATGGGGAGTGAATGGAGAGATGGTAGTGGGAGAGAGAGAGGGGGAGAGAGAAGGGTTCATGTATATAGGGGAGAATGGGAGAGAGAGAGAGGGTGAAAATAGAATGACCCCACTCTCACAAACCGCTCCTGTCTATCTATCGTCGAATACGCTATGATGTGGAGGATATAACACGTCGGCGTTTACATGAACCGTCGAATCCGTCCACTGAATTCAAAATCTTACTTTCGAGAAAAACGCGTTTGAAAGTTCGACATTTTCCAACATCGCTATAGCGCAATGTACGATAATTGATTTTGATAATTTTTAGTCAGTGTGAAAGCCTGAAACCAGCTTACAATCACCATATAAAAAACAAATCATAATTCTGAACAATCGTCGAGTAATGATAAAATAAAAATGATGATGTAATTTCGCACTTCGCTTTTCCACAGAAAGTGGCAAACGGAGCGCATTCGACGGTTCATAAAAACAGAAACTGAATACGCGCAGCACAAAAGCGCTGAATGCGCATGGATTCGTCGGTTCATGCAACCGTTCTTGCTCGTTTAATACACGCGCCCAATGCGGGTCATCGAACTTTTAATGTTGAACTGTTCGAGCTTACCTATCGAATAATCTGGGTTAGGCCTACTACTTTCATTTTTCTTAATGAGACTTTTAATTGATAAATGAATAATTCAGGAAATATCAGGACTTCATAAACATTCCCTAAATATTGATCTCCCTTCAAATTTTGTTCCTTATAATATTGTTTCTGTTTCGATTTGTCTAATTAGCCATCCTACCCCCCTCCATCACATCTTGTTTCTCCAATCGTTTTCTATATAATTCATCTTTGGAGTTAAATTCAACCACTCATTGAA